TCGCCAGTGTATACAGCAAGGACAACCCTAACCTCTTGTTCTCCATGAGCGGGTTCGAGGTTCGCATTCTCCCGAAGTGCCGCAACCAGAATGAGGAGTTTTCGGTGAAGGATAGCGTGTGGTCACTGGTCGATAACTCGACTAAGGAGCGCACTGCGCATGCTTTCCTGCAGGTGACGGAGGAGGACATCCAGAAGTTCAACAACCGCATTCGACAGATTCTGATGTCGTCTGGATCGACGACCTTCACCAAGATCGCCAACAAGTGGAACACCGCTTTGATCGCCCTCTTCACCTACTACCGTGAAGCTGCGGTGTCCACTGTCAACCTTCTGGACACGATCGTGAAGTGCGAGACCAAGATTCAGACCCGTGTCAAGATCGGATTGAACTCCAAGATGCCTTCGCGTTTCCCTCCCGCCGTGTTCTATACCCCTAAGGAGTTGGGAGGTCTGGGTATGATCTCGGGCTCGCACATCCTCATCCCCGCCAGTGACAAGCGTTGGTCCAAGCAGACGGACACCGGCATCACCCACTTCCGCGCGGGTATGTCTCACGACGAGGAGACGCTGATCCCCAACATCTTCCGGTACATCATCCCTTGGGAGGCCGAGTTCATCGACTCTCAGCGCGTGTGGATGGAATACTCCCAGAAACGCCAGGAGGCGCAGCAGCAGAACCGCCGCTTAACGTTGGAGGACTTGGAGGACAGCTGGGACCGCGGTCTGCCCCGTATCAACACCCTCTTCCAGAAGGACCGCAGCACCCTCAGCTTCGACAAGGGCTTCCGTCTCCGGGCTGAGTTCAAGCAGTACCAGTTGATGAAGAGCAACCCGTTCTGGTGGACCAGTCAGCGCCACGATGGTAAACTGTGGAACCTCAATGCCTACCGTACCGACGTCATTCAGGCGCTGGGTGGTGTCGAGACGATTTTGGAGCACACGCTCTTCAAGGCTACGGCTTTCCCCTCTTGGGAGGGTCTGTTCTGGGAGCGCGCCAGTGGCTTCGAGGAATCGATGAAGTTCAAGAAGCTCACAAATGCCCAAAGATCTGGTTTGAATCAAATTCCTAACCGTCGGTTCACTTTGTGGTGGTCCCCCACTATCAACCGTGCCAATGTGTACGTGGGTTTCCAGGTCCAACTGGATCTTACGGGTATCTTCTTGCACGGAAAGATTCCTACACTGAAAATCTCGTTGATCCAGATCTTCCGTGCGCACTTGTGGCAGAAAATCCATGAGTCTGTTGTCATGGATCTGTGTCAAGTCTTCGACCAGGAGCTTGAGCAGCTCGGTATTGAGACTGTGCAGAAGGAGACTATTCACCCTCGTAAGTCTTACAAGATGAACAGTTCTTGTGCGGATATCCTGCTTTTTGCGACGAACAAGTGGAATGTCACCCGTCCTTCCCTGCTATTCGATACCAAGGATGTGTATGAGCCGACTACCACCAACAAGTTCTGGCTTGATGTCCAGCTCAGATACGGTGACTACGACTCTCACGATATCGAGAGATACGTTCGTGCCAAGTATCTGGACTACACTACTGACAGCATGAGTATCTATCCTTCCGCAACTGGTTTGATGATTGCCATTGATCTCGCATACAACCTCTACTCCGCTTATGGGCAGTACTTCCCTGGTTTGAAGACTCTGATCCAACAAGCCATGGCGAAGGTTATGAAGGCCAACCCGGCCTTGTACGTGTTGCGAGAGCGTATCCGGAAGGGTCTGCAGCTGTATGCTTCGGAAAGCAACCAGGAGTTCCTCAACTCCCAGAACTACTCTGAGCTCTTCAGTCCACAAATCCAGCTTTTTATTGACGATACCAACGTCTACCGTGTGACCATTCACAAGACCTTCGAAGGTAACCTTACGACGAAGCCCATCAACGGTGCTATTTTCATCTTCAACCCTCGCACTGGACAACTTTTCTTGAAGATCATCCACACCAGCGTTTGGGCGGGTCAGAAGCGTCTCGGTCAATTGGCGAAATGGAAGACGGCCGAAGAAGTTGCAGCGCTCATTCGGTCTCTGCCTGTTGAAGAGCAGCCTAAGCAGCTCATCGTCACTCGCAAGGGTCTTCTAGATCCTTTGGAGGTGCATTTGCTTGATTTCCCCAACATCTCTATCCGTGCTTCGGAACTGCAATTGCCTTTCCAGGCTGCGATGAAGGTAGAGAAGCTCGCTGATATGATTCTTCGGGCGACTGAGCCTCAGATGGTTCTGTTCAACCTGTACGATGAATGGCTGAAGTCGATCTCCCCTTACATTGCCTTCTCTCGTCTGATTCTGATCCTGCGCGCTCTCCACGTGAACATCGATAAGGCCAAGATCATTCTTAGACCTGATAAGAGTGTCATCACCCAAGAGCATCACATCTGGCCCACGTTGTCCGACGAGGACTGGATGAAGGTTGAAGTCCAGCTCCGCGATCTCATCCTCAATGACTATGGCAAGAAGAACAATGTCAATGTTCAGAGCTTGACGAGCAGTGAAGTTCGTGACATTATTTTGGGTATGGAGATCAGCGCACCGTCGCTCCAGCGCCAGCAAGCCGCCGAGATCGAGAAGCAGCAAGAGGAACAAAAGCAGCTTACCGCTGTCACGACGAAGACGCAGAACGTTCGGGGTGAGGACATCATTGTAACCACCACGTCGCAGTATGAACAACAATCCTTTGCTTCGAAGACTGAATGGCGTACCCGTGCTATCGCGACCTCCAACTTGCGGACTAGGTCCAACAACATCTACATCTCCTCCGACGAGGTTAGGGATGAGGGTTACACCTACATCATGCCTAAGAACGTCCTTAAGCGATTCATCACCATTGCCGATCTGCGTGTGCAAGTTGCTGGTTTCCTTTACGGTAGCTCGCCACCCGACAACGATCAAGTCAAGGAGATTCGCACGATCGTCATGGTTCCTCAGGTTGGTAACACGCGTGAGGTTCAATTGCCCCAGCAACTACCCCAGCATGACTACTTGAACAACCTCGAGCCTCTTGGTGTGATCCATACTATTTCCGGAAACGAGCCACACTATATGACGGCCGCGGATGTGACGCAGCACGCTCGCTTGATGAACGCCCATTCTTCCTGGGACAAGAAGACGGTCACGATGACTGTTTCATTCACCCCTGGATCGGTTTCTCTTGCCGCGTGGGGACTCACTCCTCAGGGCTACAAGTGGGGTGCTGAGAACCGGGATATGACATCCGACCAACCCCAGGGGTTCTCGACTAGCATGGGCGAGAAGTGCCAGCTTCTGCTCAGTGACAAGATCCGTGGGTACTTCCTTGTTCCGGAGGATAATGTCTGGAACTATAGCTTCATGGGAAGCTCTTTCGGCAGTGTGGAGAAGCGGCCAGTGTATGTCAAGATCGACACGCCGCTGAAATTCTACGACGACCAGCATCGCCCCCTGCACTTCCAGAACTTCGCTGAGCTGGAAGATATCTGGGTTGATCGTTCGGACAACTTTGCGTGATTGATGACCTCGGCGGCGTTGGATGATTTCATGTCACATTCCTCTTTCTCATGGATTTCATATTCTTGTCTTGTAGCTAGCCTTGATTTTTTTTCTGTTTTTTTTTTTTTTTTTTTTTTTTTTTTTTTTTCCCCTTTTTTTTTTTTTTTTTTTTTTCTTTCCCCCTTCTCCTTAATCCTTCTCTTCTTCCGATTTGTCTTCATTCCAGCAGAAAATTTATTTCCCCTCATGCGTTGTTACAGCGATTATTGGTTGGCATCTGGGATCGAAAATGAGGGGGGGTTGAAGGTGATTAAATCAGGGGGTTTCACTTGTATTGCTGTATCATATTTGTATGTAGCCTACTTAGTGTCTTAGATGCTAATTGAATCCGACGATCATTGGTTGATCTTGAAGAACTGGATCTTGGCCATGTGTAATGCCAAAGTCTCAAAGTCCCAAAGTGCTGTTACACTAACGGTGTTTTGGTATTAGGGGATCGACCATGTGGGTGTGGGCTGGAAACCTACCGTCAATCATCATCGGAGAATGATCCGTTTTTTAATATCGGGACCATGTGTGAGTCCACTTAAGTAGGTTTGTCGTGGTGGTTGCTTAACTCAGTGAGGCCATGCAGATTGCAGAAAATGAATTTAAGGTGGATTGACTGGTTGCACAAGTGTGGGTTGATCAGCAAACCTCGACTCGAAGGCTGACACGAACCGGAACGGACGAACCTCAAGGGGCCGGAAAGAATTTGATTGTGTGTTGCTTGTTTCGATTTGACTCCTAGTTTGTTGATGATTGCTATTGTTACTTATTTTATTATTGTTGATTGGTACAGAGCCGATTGCGTATTGTCTGTGTGTGTTTTGATTGTTTGCCCGATTGTTCTGCCTGCTTTTCCCTTCCCTGCCTTTTCTGGTGTCCAGTATATTATTTTTCTCCCACCGAGGACCTTTTCTTTTTCTATTCCTTCATCTTGTTGCCCTGCTGTGCCCACCACAACAAGGTGGAAAAAAGTGCCCCGAAACCCACAATCTTTGGATGATTCTGATTCGGATCAGTCCTTCTTGCTTTTCTTTTCTCTCCTGCTGAGCAACAGCGACTCCAGCTAGCTCTCAAGCAGTGCCCCTAGTTCGTGGCTTCAAACCACCGCCCGTTGCCCGTATTCCCGCTCACGTCCGAGTCATCACCGTTCGTGAACTTCGTGCTATCTTTAGTTCCAAAACGTCCAAAGAATAATGGAGAGCACTGGTCTGGTTTACGACTGAAACAAAGCTCCTCCGCTCCGTTCTCAATCTCCCTCCAGTGGTTCGATGAAATCTAATCATTGCGTCCTGTTTCACCACTGCCTCAAAAGCTCAAGCCCTCTGGGGGTGGGAATAAAGTCAAAACACGCCTGTCGGAACAGCTTGCCTTGTGCCGCAAGCCTGCAAGCCTGCAAGATGCAATGAGCACAGGTCTCACCAAGTCCGACTCCGAGCCCAGCCCGGAGTCCGGAGCCTACGCCCAGTTAAGGCTACTTCAACGCCAGTCTCTGGAGGGGTCTTACGTGTTGTGTATAAGCTCCGGTGCTCTACCCGTGGACATGATTCATGACAGCCGTGCTCATTGACTAAGTAGGCAATAGAGCGGGCTTAAAACCGCCCGCAACAAATCATCGGTGGCCATCAGCTCTAGGCCTCCATTCCCCCCCCCTCGTGCGCCCACAACCCACTCACGGGCATAGACAATCATGACACCCACGCGCTAAGCTCTCGGCCTCCGACCGTTGTCGGGGCTCGTCCGCCAGGGTAATCTAACAGACACGAGCAAATAAGGTTGACAGACAGACGCTCTCACGAAAAGGGTCAATCCGGCTTCTCATTGTTGATGGGGTCACTGTGTACTCGGTACGGAGTAGCAAAAGCCAAGGGAAACATGGTCACCCTGTCTAGTGACCTCCCGGCGCAAGGACCGAAGAGCGAAAGATTTCCCCTTGAGAGACCAGTCAGAGGAAGAGAAAAAAAGGGGAAAATAGACGTGGACAAATGGTTGGACCTTGAAGCTAACCAGCCACTTTTTTTTTTCGTGCGGGCGGCACGATGCTTGCAGACCATATCCCGAAGGTTGCTGTATCCGTCTCAACATACCTATCTATCAACCTATCTATCTATCGAGTGGGTGTGGGTTGGCGGTGGTTGAGTTCCCGCGCCTCCTGCCCCCAAAAGGGCCCCCAAAGCCTTTTTCGGGATTATATACTCTCAGAAACTCCACCATCTCTCATGAGAAGGCTCGGCCGGAACTCACCTGCCTAGTCATGGTGATGGCCCACCAAACAACAAACTAGCCCTTCTCCCGCTAGTGGTTCAACTCACCCTGTCCAGGTGGATGTCTCGCACGACGACTGCTCTCATCCCTCCTCCGCTATTGGCGTTTCACTGGGTGGAGTTGCTGCGACGACCTACGATGGGCTTGTTTTAACAGGGGGCGAATTCCCTGAGCGAGTTAGGAGCACGCCAGCAACAGGTTTGACTTCCTTAACCCGAATCCACAGAGCCCAGAGGTCACTCAACCCACGTTCGTATCCAATAAGTTAACTTAAGATTATGTTAGGCCTACGTATGGAGTGGGCTTGGATCTCCCCGCTTCTAGCTGATCAATCATCCAGAATGATGTCTAAACGCCGCCAGAAGCAAGCTGGGCGCCGATAACCCATCCAGGAAGCCTCTTAGTCTCTTTGTCTATCTTAGTGTTTCATACTTGTATCTCCCGGCAGTTGACTCTAATCTCCTTCTCCACGACTGTCTGCCATGCCTTGGCAACCACCAGACGGGCCGGCGGAAGGCAAATCGTAGCCTCATCCTTCGACATCGCTGGCTCTGCTAGCTATGGCCGTTGTTCACACTGGGCCCCTCTGCAAACTAAGCTTGACTGGAATGCCGATCCGTCCGTCAAATGGGGGGTTTATTTTCCCAGCCCACCTGCACCATTCTGTATTCGGGCTGTATGGAGTATCTCCGTGTCTCCTCGAAAATCCCCCAGTACCCTCTTATTTATTACTTTTTTTTTCCCTTTCCAGAACCTTACAGCTACCGCCCATTCTGGCTGAACTGGCCTATATATCCTAGAATAAGTCGAGTCACTGCACGGGACTTTTACATGCAGCTGGAAGAAGTATCCCGGCATCGCCTCCACTTGTCTCTTCCCCATCTGTTTCTGCATATCCAGTGACGGGGGCTTGACAGGTTTTACATCTTGGCCGTCTTGACCGTTTGATTCCCATTATAGAGGCCTGTGGCTTGACTCTGTAGATTCGGTTGAGCCGGAACCAAAATTGAGGTGCAGCAGACGGATGCAGGGTTACTGGCAATTTCCGAAATCCTGGTCTTCAACGTTTTCTTGATTTAGGTGAGTGCGTTATCGCTTATATATCCATCATCTTTACCCTGCCACTGGTTTGGTTCTTTCTCCTCATGTTGGCCAGACCGTGCGTCGCCTTCAAGTGTCCCGCTTTCCCCTTCAAATGCGTTCGGCTGCTTTCGATGAAGCCTCTTTACTTCCGTCCATTTCCCGTGGGATGAACAAGTTCTTTGACTTGGCGCTTCGGTCACGTCAGTCCGCTTATTCTGCCTTTCCCTAACGCCGACTAGTACTGGAAATCTGCTCTGAACAACGTGATTTTGTTGTGACGGAGACTGCGATCTCAGCTTGCGAGACTTTAGATGACGAGGGATATCGGCTGATGCTCAACCCACTGTCGACTCAGGAACCAAGCTCGCTTTCATCACTGGTTTATTCTCGAATTCCAACTCCGTCCTACCAGCGAAAGGCCTCTTCTATTGGGATCGACTCCCTCGAATTCACCTCTTACCATTCTCTAAGCCGCGTTGAGCAGCCTGCCAGGGCTTTCAAGCTCTAGCGGCGCAGATGCATGTCCGCTACTCTGGCGGATCCGTATCGTGACTATGCGATTGAGTACTCTCAACATGCCACCTGCAAGCCCGAGCAACAGGAAAGCACGCTTGTTTATCACACGCCACAGCCGCACCTCCACCATCACAAACAGGCCGAGCCCCCCTTCTCGCAACCGCATTCCCACAGCAGCGCAGCATTCGAGCAGCATCATGCGAGTGCGACCGTCCTTCCAACGGCGACACCTCAGCCATCAGTGCATGACATGCCACAGACCGTGGTCCTTGGCCATACGCCAATGCTTCCACGGCAACTTCCTGTCCAGTATCCCCCGCCCAGCTTCGAAATCTCTCCACTCCACCGTGGCAAGAAACGGCCTCATTCAGAGGCAGAAGGAGATGAACCAGACCATGGTCTTAGGCCTCAACTATCGGTCCTTCCCGCAGACGGGCAGGCCGAGCATGGTCACTCGCCGGAAATGCTCTTCTCTGTCCACGGGGCACCGTCTCAACAGCCTCCGATGCCAGGGCACGGCTTTGGGCACGCACAATCTGTTGGGCTGCCGCAACACCACCACCACCATCGCCTCCCGCCCCATGCGGCGCTACGGACCCCTGGGCGCCATGGTATGAATGTCGAAGCCTCGCCTATGCCGTCCGGTCCTCCAAGTGTTGTAGGCCAGCCCGGGATGCCTGAACCGGCTCCCCGGCCTCGAGGCCCCAAACTAAAGTTCACACCGGAGGAAGATGCTCTGCTAGTGGAACTAAAAGAAAACAAAAACCTAACTTGGAAGCAAATTGCGGACTTCTTTCCAGGCCGGACGAGTGGTACCTTGCAGGTTCGATACTGCACCAAGTTGAAAGCGAAGGACGTCACCTGGAGCGATGAAATGGTAGGTCTCTTCTTATTCAAGGATACACTTCTGCGTATGTGTAGTGATGGGCTAATTAAGAATAAAAACAGGTCCAAAGACTGCAACGTGCCCTTCAAGAATACGAGAACGATCGGTGGCGTATCATCGCAGGGAAGGTTGGCAATGGCTTCACACCAGCCGCTTGTCGCGAGAAAGCGACGCAACTTCAATGACTGTCTTTTGAATATAATTTTGCTACGTCCCATTACTCTGTCTAATGTCTCAAATAATGCGTTCATTTGTCACGTTCTTCCTCGATGTGCAGATACGTAGGAACCGCTTGTGAGGTTCATGGCGTGGTCTGACACCAGAGGGGGTACAGAGTAGATTGATAGTGTATGATAAGTCGATTCTGCTGCAGAATGAGGGGCCCTGCGCCGGTCTCACTTTGCAGGCGCTAATGCTCACTAAAGCAGTGGCTCGTCTCGTGGCAGCGGCCATATTCGTCAGGCAGTGAGACTAGGCACTACGCTGAAGTAAAGAGACCAGCCGCGCACGTCATGTAGCCCTAAGCCCTGAGTCCATGTCCAGATCGGGTTTATATGCTTGAGTGGTCTTTGCAGCCGGCCGTTGTAGCTCCGCAACCAATCATCCCACACGGCTGACTAAGAGCATACGACCACGGGCCGAAGCGGCTTCAAACTCACCTCAACCTCCAAACTCCCTCTCCTCCAAACGTTTCGCCTTGTCTGCCGTCATTGCATCACTATCCACCAGGACAATGTTCCTTCAACGCACAGCCTTCGCCCTCGCCAGGCGCACTCCCACCCGGGCCATTGCTGCTCGTCCCTTCTCCTCCACCGTCACTCGCTGTACGTGACCCTCAGAGTCAGACCAAGACCGCCTTTTCAGCCCACCCCAGAGACCATGGATCTGTGTCTGTGTGCTCCAATGGCGCCGACATCGGTCAATCCCATCTCATAATGCATTCTCGGTATTGATACATGCACTGACATTGGCTTTCAACCTCTAGTCGACCAGGCCAAGAAGTGGCAGGTCAGCAAGGAGGGCAAGATCCTGTCTTTCGAGGGTAGGTACCCGCACATCCTCTTGTCGCGCAGACGTCAATTGTTCGAGCCTGCTTGACTTGCACCGTCTTCACCATGCTTCTTCCGCGAGCGGCAGCTGCCATTGAGGGAGTGGATGGCAGGTGTTGAGCTTCCGCGGTGCAGACATTTGGATCATACGGATCGTATGATGTTTCCCTGGATACGATGCTAATTGTGCGCTTTTCCTGTCCCACAGAGATCAAGACCGAGGAAGACCTTGTCCCCCCTGGTGCCAAGCCTGGTACCATTCCCACCGACATCGAGCATGCCACCGGTCTCGAGCGTCTCGAACTTACCGGAAAGATGCAGGGCATCGACATCTTCGACATGAGACCTCTGGATGCCTCCCGCAAGGGTACGTCGAATTTCTGGCCGCGAGATTATGTCCACCCGACGTATGCCGGTTGTGGATGCAATCGATAATCGTTTCGGGTGCCTGACATAAGTGAACTGCAGGAACTCTTGAGAACCCCATCATCGTCAACGGTGCCGGTGATGAGCAGTACGCTGGTTGCACTGGTTTCCCCGCCGACTCTCACCAGGTCAACTGGCTCACCGTAAGCTTTTGCTGAATCCGACTCAATTGGACCTTGCTCCGGATACTGACTGGCCAGGTCTCCCGTGACCGCCCTATCGAGCGCTGCGGCGAGTGCGGCAACGTCGTCAAGCTGAACTACGTCGGCCCTGAGGAGGACCCCCACGCCCGTAAGTCATCGTGGTCTTACATCATCGGTCGGGCACAGCTTGCTAACCAATGTTCTCGCGGCCAGACGACCACCACGGCCACGACCACCACGGCCACCCTCCCTACGAGGAGCCCAAGACCTTCGCCGACTACGTCAAGCCTGAGTACTGGTACCGGTAAATATTTGACACTTCCATATTGGAGCGATTGTCTTTTATCTTGATCCATTCCCCGGTAACGTGGGATGGGTTCTTTGCAAATGGATTCGATAAAAGGACAACTGTACGTGTACAAAGACAGGGCAGGGACGGAAAGGAAGAGCGGATCTGAGAGAGGAGAGAGCTCAAAAGGGTCGTTCGGGAAAGACGAGAGAGATGTCATCAGGAAATTGTCCGGATGGAGCTAGCAATTGGTCTTCTGTTTTCTTTAATTATTTTTTGAGGAATGCTGTGTATGAGAAAACCGTGTGGCTTTTTTTAGTTTTCCTACGTTTTTCTCCGACGTACTCTTCAGATGTCTTGTTCTCTCTCTCTCCCCTCTCGTTCTTGAATCTCCCGTCCCGACCTGTCTACCTCTGTATGTTGTATGTTTCTGGTTTGACCCCTGGTGCACTTATCTATCTCTTTCTGCTGGGTCCCTGTCTGTCTGTACTGTTGTCGTTCTTCAAGGTTCTTGGTTTTCGTCTACCCTGTATGCCTGTAGAATAAGCTGGAGCGGTTATCAGATTTAGAGGATGGTTGTGCTCCGCTGCCTATAAAAGATACTTATCTATGCCTTTCGGGACTAAACCCTTCCGAGCCCTAGATTGTCGTCGAGTAGGTTACTGTTTGGTTATATTTGTGGAGTAGTATACTATACGCTATCCGAGATACCTTTGGTCGTTGATGTCATTGACCCTAACTTAGCTGCAGCATGTCCCATCATGAATGGATGCATCCCACTCGATCAGGTATACCTGAATTCCGTCGCCCTACAGATCTGCAATTCCTACATGAGCTAATTACTACTGCTTTAGATAGAGCGTATGCCCATCTTATTCCAAAAAGTAAACAAAGATGAAGATTCGACCCGGATATATCGATCACAGGAACAAGCAAAAAACAAAAAAGTATTTTTCGAACACCACGCAAGGTTGGCAAAGTGACCCATCATCTCACTCTCCAGCTAATTGTTTAAGAGGGGACCGGGGGGAGAAGGTGAATCGGGGCGGCGGAGGAAGGTGATGTGAGCCTGAGCCTGGAGGTGAGTATGGCATGATGTTCTCCAGTCCTCTCCCGTGCAGTAGTTACAGCTACCGGTTCACCTGGTCTGGTTCCCTGTCCTTGTCCTTGTCCCCGGACCGGCGGGCCGGCCGCTCGCGGGAAACATGTTGCGGTCACGGGATTAGAAGACTAGAAATACTGCACCCTGCTAGGGAAGCATAACTAGTATACCTGCCACCGTCGGTATCCTGTGGTAAGCAAGCCTGTGGTTGTTGCATCCATTTATCTGGCATTATTCTATTGAATTCCAGGAATTAAACTTCTGCGCTGTGTTGTTGGCTGTGTTGTGTTCATTCTCAATCTTCGCAATATATTATAGCCTTCCATTTGTTCGGGTAGACTACCTATTCTGTACAGTAACTTATATACTTAGTGCCTGCAGTACAGTGCCAGGTCTCTTCTAATGAGTTTGGAGCCCCCGAGATGGATGGGATGGACCGGATGCTTACGGCGGGGAGCGGAGCCCAGCCTGGAGCTGAGCTGAGGAAAGGGGAAGTTCTCTCTTCCCGAATAGGCAAGAGCCTCGGGATGCGGTTTGATTCGTTTCTCTAGTTGTTGTACTGTCAGCCCTGAGTATTGCTGCCTACCTAACTGATCATGAGTTCATATGTGGGAGTAGATTAATTTAAACACTCTGGAGAGTCTGAACTGCTTTGACTGGACCAAACTGAGGTGAGGTGATCAGTATCTTTCATCTCTGGTTTATATTTTGGGTCCATTTGAGCTTGGCGTGGATTTAGGGTGCGTCGGGGGGTTTTTTTCCAGGCAGGTGGGTGGGTGGAACTGCCGATTGTGATGGGATGGGCGGATGGCGGTTCATTCCGCCATCAGGGAAGATGGTGATCGTCCGTTGGCCAGTAGTCTCCTCCGGACATAGTATGAGTACACGGAGAAGTCTGGAGATTGTTCGGTGTTATGATTGACGCTGACCTTCAACAAAGTACAGGCTTTAACTTGCTTGATAATGGATTGGTCATCCGCACACCCACAATCCTGAGCTTGGACTCGTATCGTCGGCCGAGGGGATGATCCAGATCTAGGAAGGTCATTGGGTTGCATGAGTTGGTATGCGGTCGTTGAGGAATTACGCGATGTACTTTCGTGGGGATTCTGTGCTTCGGGTTGCACTTGTTGGAATTGTCATATCATGCGGCTCTGCAATGCTACGTACTGTACTTCGCAGTTACTTCCATCTTCAATGTCTGGGGCATCTCGATCCGGAATAGCGGCTTCTTATGACAATGCAATCAATATTAGATGCTCGAATGAGCAATATTAGCTATTTGCTACAGTTTCAAAAGACAATAAAGTCTGTGCCCCTCAAGAACCACGCGTATTATGACAACCATCATATTATACAATAAGATATAACTTTTATGGCTCGTCTTATATCACCCCGACAACCCCTTCGACTAACCTGACTCGTACCAGACCATTTACACTCCAATCCAGCTCCCACGCAGCACTCGAAGAGACGATGCGGTGTTCCGAGTATCACATCATGCTCACCGACCGAAGTAACGTCGCTCGAGGTACCGAAGAGGAGGATACACTAGGCCCGTCCACGAGAATCCGACATATAGACCCATCTATTTCACACGTCAGTGAGAAGAACACGACAAGCAAGACTCGATTGCAACTTACATCTGCACCATACTCGCCCACCAAGCGCGCGATAGGTCCGATATACCACACCTGCGCCATGCACAGAACCGCACCGGCCCAGCCAACCAGGAAGGCGATCAAAGCGGCGATACCAACGGGCAGCTTGGACGGGTCGTTCCAAGCGTACCAATTGTACCCGCTACGGAACCGGAAGATGAATTGTTCTTCCAAGATAATGACCACCCACATGGCCACCCAATAGCCCATAAGAGCCAGGAAGTTGGTGAAAATATCAGAAAGGTTACTCCGGCCGGCCAAGGCGCATACAGTGAAGATCACCGCTCCGAAGGTGTTCCAGAGCACTCGTGGAACCTTTTCCGCATACCGCCCGAGAATCTGGAAGTCAACTCCAGCTGAGTAGGAAGGAGCCACGGTGTTGGCGATCAAACCCAGCGCGACAACTACTGAGCAGAATTTGCCGAACCCACCCAGCGGGCTAAAACCTTCGACAATAAGGGCTCCTGCACCGACGGAATATGCTTCACTATATTTCGCATAGTTGGCGACACCTGATCCGAGGCCAGCACCGCAGATAATCGCCATGGTGAAGGAACATGTCAACCCTGCCAGAGAGAGGGAGGAAAGGGCCCATTTAGATGTATTCTGGGGGTAGTAGACAAAGAAGTCCGCTGCAAGTGGTGTGTAGGTTATAGCTGAACTAACACAAAGGGAAAAGAACGACAATCTAAATTCCGGATGGTCAACATTGCACAAAAAAAATCAAGTGTCAAAGATCTTACCTGTTTCCAGCAATTGTGCGAGCATCCCCGGTGGACGAGGCCGAAAGGTCGAAATGTTTGGCGGACACGCCAAACAATATGGAGACCACCACGAGCTGAGGGAGAAACGCAAAGCTAGAAGCAAGTCAGCACCGGTTCGAATAAAGCAGAGGAAATCGTAGCGCACCGTTCGTAGGTATGAAAGACTTGAATGCCAAACGTAGCAATAACCCAGGTGATGATAGCGATAATCACAATACCTTCCAGATTGTCAGTAGAGTTACTTCAGGCGACTGACAGATGGGACAACGTACCCACTGCTACCGACATGTTTCCACGTGGTGACACAGCAGATAAAATTTGGCCGCCCACCACCGAGTCGATCAGACAGTAACCAAGCATTTGAATCAGATTCAATATGACTATCAGCTTGCTAGGCCACCAACCCATAGAGTAGCGTCCGAATGCCTGGGGACGTAGATATTAGCAGACACGCCTGAGCAAATGCTTCATCTTTCACTCACCATAGTCCGAATACCAGATACTGGGCCTCGAGTAGCCATCCATGCCGCGGGGATGCTACCAAGCAAAGCTCCGAAAACGGCGCAAAGCGCCGTATCGCGGAAGCTCAGAGCATAGGTAGCAGGGCCCAGCATGCCGAGTGTGATATTGTTGGCTGCCAGATTGATAGAGACCCAGAGCAAAAACGACTGCAGGTACGCAACCCAGGTCAACTTGGTCATGCGCTCATTCTCCGGCACCCGTTCGATACCGCGAGCCTCGAAGTTGTACTCGACCAATTGCTGCTCGAATTTCCTGATATAGGAGGTCAAGCGTGTCGGCACACGCACCGTCCTATTGACAGTATCTTCGCCATTGTCCATAGGACGAGATGTATTATAGCTTGAGTGGACATTGGCGATGTCCTTTTCAGAGGAACGCCTCATGGCGGCGACTGGCTGTTCGGGAGACATGCTGTTGTAGTTGGTCAGTACAAACCTGTCCAAAGAAGCGGGATTGAAAATAGCGAGAAAGCGCGCATGAGTCCTTTCGCTGGAATTATCCAGATCAAGTTCAACCGTATAATCTCAGAACGAACAACGTAGGTAATCACATCTTTCTGGGACCCTCGCTGGCTAGTAGACGGAGTACCCTTTCCCCACACCGACAGAGAGCGAGCGCCCCAGATAGCCTGTGTAACGTACAGTTGTCGAACACCGGTCTTCATGCAGGCAGATTACTTAGATACCTTGATCGACAGACAAAACCACGCTACTCGTCTTCATGATAGCCGTCCCTTGCATATGGTTCTGCGAGAAGACGGGAGGCCTGTATGTGCGGGGACGTTGTGATTGCGATGGGGGGAAGACTGTGGCGACCAGACCTAGTATAACACAATCTCAGTCGTGCGTCAGTCATAGTGGTTTCAACAGGGTTTTGTGGCAAACCATTATTTTGTGTGGGGGAGTAGGCAGCCAAAGGAAAAGCGACTTGGGTGAATGCAATGGACGATTCCTCTACTAACCTGAGCACTTAACACTGACAATTGCGCAATGCACGCTGCCGATAGCTTGTACTATAAGGCGGAAAAAAGCCCGAGAGTGTGAGAGCAAGAGAGAGGAGATCCCAGTGTTGTCAATGACTGCAGTGTAAGCGAAAAGGTGGAGCGGGTACAGTAAAAACCCCCAGATAGATTTTAACGGCGGCGGCGGGGTCTGGATCGAGTCATAGTCCCCTCATAGGTGGGTGGGTGGGTGGCCGCGGATTTGCCGCGGACTTGGTTCAAGGTTGCCCGCCGCCGCCGCCCCCGATTTCGGATGGCATTTCCTACCCGTGCGTTATACTATTCAGTGACCTAGTAGTACGCCGCTCCGCCCACCACTAAGTACGTATACTATACTACGAATACAGGTGCATATTATGCGGCAATCTCCTCGCCGGCCTGTAAGATCTGGATTGTCGACTCTTCATGAGTATTGCTCCAATCACATCCTGCCAAGGTGGTAAGCTGTTTGTCTGCAACCTACATTCTTGTTCGCTAGCGACCTGCAGGTTGCTCTGCAGAGCTTCCAAATGCAGGCACATACACATCGTTCTCCCTTCGTCTACTATGTGACTCTTGCCCGCTTTCTCAATATCCAGACCCATAAAGAAGTCTATTTAGAGTAGCCGAGGACATACGCGACAGGGAGTCAAATTCACCAATGTGTATCATCAGAAATGGAAATGACAGCCCTGGAAACAACTGAAGCCGCAAAGGAGCACGAGAATGTGAGAGGATAGAGGACTGACACATAAATAGTAAGAAATGAACAAACACAACCTAACGCCGGCAACCCTTCGCCAAGAGCTTTGCATACTATGAAGAGAAATCACTGTGAATATGAAAACACAGGCTCAGATCAGCTTAAGTCATATCTCATGCCTTGGATCGACCAGTGGGCAAGACTATGCAGATAGTCATCACGTCGTCATCTTTCGTAAACTCTAGAGGTCCTTGAAATGTTCTTTTGCATACTGTTCACAAGCCTATATTGGGATATGTCAGTCGGTTGTGCTGGGGCTGGTCACTTTGAGAACTCGCCTTGGCTGGCTTCCCAACTTTCTGCCCGATTACTTTCCACTTATTCGCCTCGTATTCTTTGATCGCATCGCGAAGCGCTACAGACTATAACTCATTATGTTAGTACCGGTTCAGCGCTGAGATGGATGTTGTATATTCTTACCTCATCTTCCGCAAACTCAGCGTAGTGCATGTCCTGCCACATTACTCAGGAACTTATTCTGACCTAGAGCGAGCTTCAGGCGGATCCCTACCTTATACCAATGCTTCTTGACACTTCCCTCGGTCCGAGTGGGGAAAGTCTGCGAAGCCCGAGAGCAACCAAGTTAGCACGCTTCAACGTGGTACAGAACCGATTGGTGCACCTTGGCAATTTCGCTCCAGCTGCGGCCAGCGTCGCGCATAGTCTTCAACCGCTGTTCCTCCTCTGCAGTCCAGGGAGTATTAGTTCTTCCTTTTTTCTTCGGTGTAGGCTCTGGTACTCCGGACCCGGGCTCGCCTCCGGCTCCGGTCGCGCCTGAAGCTGGCATGGCCGCGGTGGTGCCTGCTTGAGGCGAAGCACGGCGTTTGCGCGGGTTCGGCGGAGGAATCTGAGCTTGGGGCATAGGAATGCCCTCGTACGAAGGCACTCGTGAGTAGGGATTGACTTGTTGCGGAGCTAACAGATGGGATGGTGCGTTGGCGGGGACGGAGGTCTTAATTCGTTTCGATGTTGGAGGAGACCTATTGTCATAGAAGAGCCCGAAAGCGTCAGTGTCGGAGACGTGACTAATACATGAAAGGGGGAAAAAGAAATAAGAAATAAATACGCGGAAGTCGCAAGAAGCGAGGATACAGGGCTGAAGTAGATAAGACGCCGAATGAGGATGATGAAAGTAATGGTAGGGATAATCTGAGCAAGAATAATAAAAAAACACGAAATAATAACGACTCCAATAATACAAAAGAAAATGACGGAAAGAGCCAGTCGATTTGTGAATCAGCAGATAAGGGCAAGCAAAGGCCCCAGGTGAATAAGAAAAACAAAAACATAAGGCAAGAATGAAAAGCACATGACCAGGGTTGGGGAGTGGTTCATCGAAGGTATATATGAACAGACAGCAACCCTGGAGCTTTTTCGCAGCCCTAAGACTAGCTTTGCTGGGGCTTGGGAGGACGAGGGGTGACTTACGACATGGTTGAGGATATGCAGTTCTCCCAATCACGCTCCGTTGATTCATCTGTAAGTACACACGCTTAGGAGATTAGCAAATCTGCCATTCAAGGAACGCTCCGTGTAGATCGTCCTGTCAAGTCTAGGGAAGCGAGCGCCTGGTTACACCAAAGTGACGATGACACCAGTGCATCATACGGCATGGTAGTAGCGCCGCAGGAAGGGAGGCTGGACGTCAGGAGTGAAGGGGGGTGTCGACAAAAATGTTACATGCATGTGTGGAAGTGGTCGGCAGCGAGGGACCTGGAGATGGCGCACGAATCTGAGTAAGAAGGAGAGCAACACGAGAAGAGAAGAAAAGAAAGAAAGGGGAGGTGAAAGCTAGAGGGAGGGAAAGAGGGGAGACCGGGCAAGTAAAGGGCAAAAAGAAAACAAATATAAACAGGTTTAGGCACAATCACAAGTAGACCTCTCGAGCATCTTAGGATACATAGGCTGGAAATAGTACGGAGGAATACTGGAGTTGCGATGATAAGACATTCTGGTCAGGACAAGTGGAGATGGAGACCAACACAGAGTGCAAAGAAAGGCTTACTGGTCGAAGTTCATGATTCGAAAACTCTGAGGTTTTTCTAACAGGTAGACACGAAGTAGCAGTCCCGTTGCTTGGAAGTCGACTAAGTGACGGATCGGAATGAGGCCTGTCAGGAGAGTCGTAGTAGTAGGCAGGTAGGCAAGTAAGAAGTAGTGAGGAGGATAGTGAGAGTAGTATAGTAGTAGATGTGGGTAGACAATCAATCGGAATACTGGGCCGGTTGACAGTAACTAGGCAAAGGTAGTCAATAGTCAGTAGTCTAGATGATCGTCGTCGTTCTGATTGTTGGTGTAGAAGAGATGATCAGCAAGTAAATCAGCAGGCAAGATCGAGTCGATTAGAGGTCAAAGATACATACATGCCTTTACATTTAGCGGTTTGCAGGAGAAAGGAGTGCCGGTACGCGGATTGGAAGGTGAGGTATACTAAGGAAACATTCGGGTGAGGAGAGAGGGAGAAAGAAGAGAGGGGGGATTTGTTTTCCTCGCCGTGAGCTAAAAGAAGAAAAATAGAAACGAGACGAACCTGCAGAGAGAAAAGGAATGGTAAGAAAAGAAGGTGCAGGAGAAAGACCAGCAACAGCGAAAGTGCAAGGCGAAAGAAGACGAATGAACGGGCCAGTGACTGACAGACTGACAGACTGACAAGACAAGACTGACTACTGCTGAGGGGAGATCCGAATCCACTCCATGGCCAAGCAGCTTCCATTTCACCAATCCCGCGAGCTCCGACTCGTGTTTGCTTTTTCTTCTCCTAAGCAGGCGTGGATAAAGTCAATGATTACTCCCCTACTCACTCACTCACTCACTTGCTATCTACCTACCATTTGATAGTTCACCCAGAAGACGGACAGGAGATGGCTTCTGCACACCATTGCATGGTATCATCATGCCCAAAGAAGTAATTCCCCTCCTATCCCGAGTCCCGCTTTCAACCAGTCTTAAATCGATGGTTTCGCTTTGACAAGAAAGTGTACAGTACAGACCCGCCCCATTGCCAGCAGCGATTTCCCCTCTTTGATCGGTCGAAATCCCGAATGAATTTTCTAAAAGAACGGCAGAGACCCTATCTAGTACGCCCGTTATGACCTATGGAGGGGAGGGGGAGGAGGGGGGGGGGGAGGGAAGGATGGGGGGGGAGGAGGGGGGATGCGTCTGGCCTTTGACGCCTACCTGCTCATCCTTGTACTCATACACAAGGCACCTATACTCCTTCGAGTTCCTCTCCATTTGTTCCGTTCTCTCTCACCAACCGACTACCTTCTATCCCGCGCATCTCATTCCACAAAGTTAATCATCTTCAGACCACTTTGAGTTGTTGCGGCCATGAACGAGAAGTTCAATTCCAGCGCATCCATCAGCCACAAACCGCACCCCCGAACCCTGTCTTCCAACAGACAAGACAGGAAGCGATGATGCTAGTGGCGGCGACATACGTTCCATACGTTCCATATAGCCCGCCGTCTCGGTTGTTCTCGCCAGGATAGCCTGGCGTCGCTGCAGTGTCCAGGTAGGCAGGCCAAGCGGGTGGACAAAATCAGTGAGGGAGCGGGGTCTGGACTATCTGGTGACCGTGAGCAAGACTACAACTTGAAACGAATATTCTTGGTATGCAATCATTGAGCTTGGCACACCAGAGAAAAATAATTCAAAAAGCAAATCTCGAAGGCTCAAGGATGGTGAATTCTGGTGTCGACGTGGGCTCCAGCCTCTCCCCTTTCCCAATCAGATGCTCCTGATGGGATACGCTGGGAGCGGGGTAAGAATCCCTGAACTCCCACTAGGGCTCCCTAGGGCTCCCGTGTTTCCAATGATCCGTCCTCCATCTCGGTTGCTTCCACCCAATCTTAGTCCTGGCGGTCTTTTCGCTGTCGCGTATTCTAGACAGGGTCTGGACATTTCTAATGCAAGATTTGCCGCTGCTGCGATCTGGACCTTCACCTTGTTAAAGAAGTAGGCCGGTGCCCGCCCGAGTCCGCAATGCTGCATCTCCAGGTTTTCAAGGTATGCATGTTATCTACGCCCGCCCAGTTGGCTCCCTCCTAGGCGGGTTTTAAAGATCTACAGTAGGTCCGTGAACCGTTATTTGATCCCCTGCGGGCTCTTATTGAGCATCGTCCTACCGAGGATGTTGGTAGTCGAACATGTTGGCTTGGGCTTATTGCTATCACATCCATGGAGGACTTAATAAGATGAGGCGCTGTGCAGAAAATGTTCCTGGATGGCCGAATACGATCACAAGAGCGAGGAATTGCCACAGAATGACAACAATTAGGCTTCGTGGAGAGCTCATGCATCGAAAGAAATAATATTAACGATTTGCCGCTATTCAGTCGAAAGTTATCGCTCATATACAACTTTCCCATCACAACTGATAGCATGTGCAACAGAACATATCGAATAAGGTGGCATGGATCGGAGCAGAATAGAATTTATCATCCGGTCTCTTGTACAAACCAGCATATTCGCTTGGAGGACCATATGTCAAATGCATTTCTGACCAAGGGCTCACTGTGTGTATCCCTTTCCCAGACATCGAGGTTACCACGTACGTCGAATTCAGTTTTCGAGGTGAAAACTCATCTGTCACTCATATGTTCAGCTCAAAAAGCTATCTCTATTGGAGTACAGCCTTCTATGCGTTTGTGGTTTATATCCCGCGCACATGTGCTGTGGTTGAGCATTAGCTACATAATACAAGTACATGTCGTGTCTCTAATTCGATCTAGCTCTCCCTTGGTTCTCCATGAACTTCTCAGCATAAATTGAACGAATGGTATCACGTGGTGAAAACAGAAGCTACTATTGTACAATTCATATAGAACGGACTCGCATTTGAATCTTTGAAAGTTGCTAATACCTGCAGGTTTCTCCAAGTAGATAAGAATCCTTGGACTCACAGCAAATGGATACACTTCCTAGCGACAAAGATATACCTGTGTGGATCTTTGAAGCTCATCCCATTCAATATTCGAAACCAATGAGCTCCATGATAGAGCCATACATCTTTGGGTTGGCTGTCAACAAGTCTTGGCAATTGTTTATCGATTCGAAGCTTGTAAACGTATCTTGGGTCGATCGCCCATAATGCCCAAACAGCCTAAAAGGGAGCTAGTGGTATGTCTCGCATGCCTTGGGAGGTGTCTCAGAAGAAGCGGTGACAGACTTGATGATACGTCGATTCAATTGACAAAAACAATCATGGCAGCAGGAGCCGACTAGAAGAGGGTATTGGGAGATTCATGAACAATAGCACGAAGCATACATATAACAACTGTGTGGCTCCCCTGGCCCAGCATCTATGCCTCCTGATCGCCTTTCCACATGGACAAGAACATAATCTGATAATTGCGAAGCTATACTTGGAGCGAAAGGTAAATGCTGACGTCATCCGCCGAACAGGTAGCTAATCGATCACGTGCTGGACACGCGGCCACGGGAACATCCCCAGCTTGCGCCTTGAGGTGGATCCCGCTGTGACGGTGAACGGAGCTTCCCCCTTCGTTGAGACCAGATAAGACTGAATCATCGTTGAGCTTCACAACCACCACTTTTACCATCACTATTGTTTCAAGCTATATATAGCCCCTTCTCAGTGTCCTGTTGCATCCGTTCTGCTATTAAAATCAGGCTGCCTGGTGCACCTCTCTACTATCTACAACACAATCCGGGACGGACAACCCATACACCCCCGACCGCGCCTTGCTGATAAACGAAGCACGGTCCACAGTTAGTCACAGTCTTTCGGTGACTTGCTTGATAGCCTCAACGGTGACAGTTGAGGCTTGTGAGGTATCCTAGATTGCGAAGCTGAACGCCTAAATCTACTGGCCAGCTCTTATATACAACAGCAATCATGGTGAATATCAACATGAACTTGTTCCGCGCCCTGGGCGACTTTTCCCACCTCGGGTCGAAATGCGTCCTGATATGGGCCATACATCGAAACAAGAGTGCTGAAGGTAAGTACACCGTGACACGAGGCTAGATCGTCCATGATGCTAATCAACTGTGCTACAATGCAGGTGTTTCGCTCCTTACTCAAATGCTCTATGCCTTGGTCTTCGTCACTCGATACCTCGACCTCTTTCGAAAGGAGGCCTGGGGATCTTTCTATCTTGTCTTCTTCAAGATTTTCTATACGTTAACGTCATTCTACGTTATTTTCTTGATGATGAAAGTCTTCCCCCGCACACGGGAGAAGGAGAGAGCATGGAAAATGGGCTTGATCTCTGTTGGTCTAGCGCTTGTCCTGGCTCCTATCTCCCTTGCCATATTCAAGGAGTACAAATCTGGTCGGTGGTTCACTGAGGTAAGTTGAATTTTGGACTTCCTATCTGTGTGTCACCGTACTGACAGAATGTGTCTTGCAATGAGTAGACATGCTGGGCTTTCTCAATCATCCTCGAATCTGTGTGCGTCCTCCCCCAATTGCTCCTCTTGCGCCAGACCACCGTCCCGACTGTCATTGACTCGTACTACCTGCTTATGCTGGGATCATATCGAGCATTCTACATCCTGAACTGGCTTGTGCGCGGACTGGGCGCCGAGGGCTACTGGGAGCCGATTGCCGACATCTTCGGTCTTGTCCAGACCGCGTTTTATATCGACTTCGCTTGGGTCTACTACTCTCGCCAGCGTGTGAAGCTTCGCAACGGAGGTGTGGTTGACTCGGACGACTTCCGCCACAGCTGGCTTGTGAGCAAGGTGCTTAATTTCAGACAACGCAGGGTGGCGGATGAAGAGCAGAGTCTAAATGATGACGATTTTGAAGAAGAGAGGGTCAACGGGGAAAGGCCAAAGAACAACCGATGGGGCGCAAGAGGGATCTCGGTCTCCGCCGATGACACATTGGAGGATCAACGGCCTCGAACTCATGGCTCGAGCCATGATAACAGCCTAGAAGGGTTCTCGGATGATGAGGAAGATGACGTTCCGGCATACCAAGCGAACAAGGCCTCTTCAGGGGCCAATGGGAGCGGACTCTGAATAGCTTGGTTTTTTTTTCGGGCCATATATAGATTTTTCTGGTGCAGATCTACGTCTCTGCTTCTTGTCTCTTGGGTGCAAACTTCGATTTTCGGCTCTGATTGCATGTCATCCTACCTTCAAAGCTAAATGATCATCTCTAGTGTCTCTTTCATGTCAACTAATTTCCGTGTTTCCAAATCCTTCTAGAAAGCGCAGTAGTGTCGAGCGACGACCGACCATCTATACCTTTGTTGGGACTAGGACAGTCTCAGCATTCGCAGTCGAATGTTCACAGTATGGCAGTATGCCATTGCAGGATTGGGATGAAGTCATCCGAGACGGGCTCCGACGTGGGGATGAAACAGGTTTTAACAGACGGACCCAATGTTTCAGACTTGATCTCCAAGCACATTGCTGCGCCTGGCCATAGCCACGGCTAGGTGTTTGAGGATCTGTGCATCGATGCAGCAAATGGGCGAAAAGTGTTACAAAGTTGCCAAAGGGGTATTACGTGTGGACAGCGCAACCAGAGACTATGGAGAGGGGGGCCGATTTGTTTTTTTCCCTTTTGTTTTGGAGGGCAAAAAAAAGCCTAGGGAACAACCTTGCATTACTCGGCATAGCCGGGATGTGGCCTGTCATCATCATGATGGGGGTAAACCTTCTCCGTCAGATCCCTATGGAGCAAAAATAGAATCCTTTAGTGTTTAGCGGACATAGCCGTTCATCCTTGAAGCGGAAATTATGAAGTACTTGAATGACACTACGCTTGAAAAGGGAAAGCTATGGGGGAGTTCGTGACATCACGTGTGCATCACGGGGTCTCCGATCGGTTGTCAAGCAGAGCGACGATCTTCCCTTGACCACATGGCGACTTGTGCGATCCATGCGATGGTTACAATCATGATACACCGGACACAGCCCGTCCATAGGGCCAAATGCAAGGGTGCCAGGAAATACACCCGGGAAATTGACGGGACGAGATTGCCGTGCATCTTTCCAGAAGAATGATGGCTTCCCTAGTTTGCCAGATACAGTACTGTACAGTACCTCTTTTGACATCCCCAGGGCGGGATCCGCGCCGAACGAACGGCTTGATGTCGACGATGGACGATGGACCAAATACCCCGACAGCAATATCCCGAGGAGGCTATCCCCTTCGCTTCTGGCGCGTAATCGACCGTTTTCCCCTAAGACACGTGGCTTGGGTAGGATGCAGACAGCCGCTAGAATTGAGAATGCGAACGCTCACGCCTTGAGCCTTAATTTCTAGATGATACTCCCTTCCCCTCCAAAACAGTCGTGTCTCGACGAGGCCAGTTAGATGCGTCTAAGAGAATAGGAAAAGAAACGAAAAGAGGCCGTGCTTCAAAACAAACTCTCCAATCCATTGATTTCAGGGCCGGCAGCGAGACCGACTTGGTGGTCAGCTTTTTCTCTTACTTTTTCTTATTTTTATTTTCTTTCCACGTTTCCCTTAATGAGCTGGCCGTAGGGCGAAGTCGAAGATCGCAGAAGCATGCCTGAGTATGACAAGCCTGCCCAGCCTGAGTTTAGTTCCGACCCATTTGGATCCACCAGGATTTACAGCCGCAATCACGACGAAGCGCTTAATGGTTAACCCTGCCCGTAGGATCCCTGCCCCCCTCCTGGGCTCCCTCTTTTCCTCCCCCAAAGGAGTGAGTTTTGACTCTGTTCCTTGATGGTATTTATTTCCTTCTGATTTCGCTTGGCCGTATTAGCCCAGAGCTTTCCGAACAGGATTTAGCTGCGTCTACTAGGCAAGCACGAGGATCCTGGCTGATGACTTTCGGTCGTTGGGGCTACGTTTAGCAGCCTCTCAATTCGTCCGGTCTACCTCGCTCTCCACATTTCGTAGCCGCTACAGGAGCTGCGATGCGTTCATCTGCCCGTCGGCCCTTTGACAATATGACAATACTGGCTTCTCCCTCTCTGGCATACTTTCTCAATGTCCATCTTGGGTTTAGAGAACACATCATGACTTGAAATCCCCCATTCTGTATGCTCTTTTGGGACAGTTCTGCATCGATAGCGGTGTCCCCATCTATGTACTGGCCAGCTCAAGCGCTAACCTACGGGCTACTATTTGATATGGCGATTAAGCGGCTTTGCAAACGACAATCCGCGCTCGTTTAGACTGACATAATTCTACGATCCCTAACCTGGAGATCCAGGACATCGGCACTAAGATCGCAGTAGATGCTGCCTTGCTCTTGAGTAACGGTGGGTGGGCCTGGGGATGCAAGTCTGAGCCCCCCGAGGGTTTTTGGGGGCTGGATTGTCTCCGTTCTCATGTCGTGAGCAACCATGAGAGATTATCCTTTCCATTTTCTCCCCTTTCAGAGCATGGCTCTGTTCTATCAGAAATGATCAGGCGCTTAAAGGCAGGCCCATCGTCGACCTTACACCTCCCGCCAGGAACAATTTTGTGCGGCACAGCAATAGTGGGCGGTACTTACTATGGTCATCAAAGCTCGTTGAGTCCGTTGATAGACAAAAAAAAAAGCTTCAAGCTTCTGGCCCTGCCTCGCGAGGCATTTCGACTTTCTTTCACATTCCTTTCTTTCTTACTTTTTTTGTTAATTTTTCGATATATGAACTCGCGAAGACTCTGTCATCGATACCCCTTTTTATACCTTCTCCACTTTCAACCAGACCACTACAATTTCTTATACTATATTCTTCCCATCTAGAGAGGTGTGGATTAGCCTCGGATCATCTTCGTCATTACTATTGGCGGTCTGACTGCCTATTTATTTTGTTGGACCTTGCCACCGCTCCCCAGCTAATCTCATATCCTTCCTTCCCTGTTTCAATCACCGTTCAATACACTCATTCACCATTCCGTCCCTCACCAACGAAGAGCCTCAATTGGCTTCCATCATGTATCCCCAAACCCCAATTGGTTACTCGGGGCCCATGACCTTCGGTCATGGTGGTCTCAACCCCGGGGAGGGGATTGAGGACCTCTACGCAGTGATGCAGCCGCAGTGGACCGGATTGGAAGCTGTATGTTGCATAGTCAACCAATCTCCGCAGACGGACCACTTGAAGCTGACCAGCTCTGAGTCGATGCAGTCGCCTTATGGAGGGATCAACCATCCGTATACTACAACTACAGCCTTCCCCACCGGCTCCATCCTCACCCCTATCAGCCTCCCCGACAGCTCTTTTCGACCGAGTCCGGTACTCAGTCATCATTCGCAAGAGTTCCACTACAATATCAGTGATACCGTTCCATCGCAAGGACTAGGTATCACGGCTCCATTTCCGAGCAACTTCCCTCGCACTGTGACCGCGGGCCTCGGACATACCCTCGATCAGCTCGAATATGGTCTCGGCGAGGTGGATCACTCGCCCCGGCCCCCGCCGGCAAAGAGGGCCAGACGAGGGCCCAAGCAGGCAGCCACGCCGCGGGAGGCTCCCGTTACGATACTTCCCAACCCCGAGGGCCTCCAGCGACTGGAACAGGAGCGAAGACAGGGGGCCGCTGATGCCCATCAGCAACAGCGGCCTCGAGCCCCAGGACGGGGGCGCAGAGACCCGCAGGCGGAGGAGGAAGACGCATTCGTGGAACGACTGCGGGAACAGAACCTCGCATGGAAGGTCATCCGCGAGATGTTCCGGGAGAAGTTCCATAAGGATGCATCCGAGGCGCGGCTGCAGATGCGCATGCTGCGGCGGCGCAAGGAGCGCCTGGCGCGGTGGGATGAGAACGATGTGAGTACGTGCTCCGTCAGCAGTCCTCAAATGTCAACTAATCATTAACGGCGAAGTCATTCAGATCCGCCTACTCATCCGGGCTCGGGATTATTGGGAGCACGAGAAGTATAATGTGATTGCACAAAAGGTAAGAAGCATTAGGTCCAACAGCTAAACCTTGTATGTTTTTTGCGAGGTGCTGACTATATCTCTCTGATCTCAGATGAGGGAGCTGGGTGCCGGGCAGTATACCCCACAACAATGCGAAGCGCAGCTGCGGTATCTTGATGCGCAGAACCGAGATCGAAGTGGTCTGGTTGCGCGGCCACGAATATCTGAGCCTTCGCAGACACGGCGACGCGTCTGGCCTCGTTCATCTCTTCGGAGCCTGGCCGGTGAGACCAGAAAATGATTACTTTTGTCATGAATGCATCGATGGGTTCCAGAAGCATGTTGAGGCGCATTATGGTTTGGTTGGAGCTTTTTTTTTTTTTTTTGACTTTTGACTTTTGTTAATTCCTTTAGGCTGATGATACGCCGGGCTGGACTACGTTCGACGATTTGCATGGTAGCGTCTTTTTTGAATTTGTCACCCCCCTTTTTATTGGTTTTTTCTTTGTTCATCTTGATATAACTATACCCTGGGACCCAATGCGTACGAAATGAGATATCAAAAACGATAATATCAAACCCTGACAGTATGACAGGATGTATGTACAGTTACAATCTATTTTTACCCGCCAAGGGATATATCCATTCCGAAGATCGTGTAACTCATCTATCAACAAGACGACCAGTATACGAATGGACCAATGGGCGTGTTTCTCTCGACTATCCCCTTCTTACCTGTCATAAAATTGGAGAACAAAGAAAAGAGATAGTAAGCCAAGCGTGACACAAACCAGAACAATTTAAAATAGACTTTCGCGCAGTCATTCTCTTCTTCGCAACGGTTGCCGATCTCCAGCCTCGGAAGCGGCCACGAGTTGATACGTACAGTGCAGTACAGCAATGCCGCAGCAAGCAGCAGCAGCTGCTGCCCCTCATCGCCAATAATTAACCGCCGCCAGCCCCAAGCCACCGCCAGCAACCCACCATTAGCTTGACTCGACCACGAGGACGCAGTACACTTATGCTTAGCCTACTTTGTTTGCATCGGTTTCTCCATCTGACATCTTGAGTCCGACTCTGCCCGGCCTGGCCCTGCCTGGCCCTGCAGTACGACCGCTGCTGCACCAGCATTTGGTTTCCCGGGGATAATTATAACCATAACCTCGCGATCTGTGCTTCCCTCGCCACCACACGACACCAGCCTTACGCATGCCTTTACTACCATACTCTGTGATACCTCCCACCAAATCCCAACATCCATCTATGTTTAGTATCGTATCGTATTCAAAGCCCTGCCAAGCAAGCCAGAGAGAGAGAGAAAGGCACAGCATCATTCTTCCAACTTCTATCCATCCCAAACCACCAGAAAGACTACTAGCGAAATACGTTACTATGGATGATCTCCCAACTACAGTCCAAAAATCAAATCCATCCCCAAAAAGCTAAAATCAACCCGCAGATCGAAAAAGGCCGCCTTTTTTGTTTTCTGTGGCTATTCTCAGCCGCGCACAAAAACCCCATCCTGAGAAAGGAAAAGAAAAAGCAAACAAGGCTACTATCGCCTTCATTGATGAATGTGGATGTGTATCAAAACTCTACTCCGAATTTTGGGAGAGACATGGTCTTTGGACCACGGTAGATAAGTTAACCGCTCGGCGGCTGTCTACTTACCTCTACTGTGCTGTACTTGTAAGGCTTGTTAAAAGACCTCTAAGCAATTGTCTTATTTTCCTATTTTTGTTTCCGCAGTTGTATAGCTATAACAAGCATACAAAAGTCAACTTATATATCTTAGAGTATTTTTCAAAGCTGTTGTACTATACTGCTTTTACCTAAGCCTTTTTACTGGTTTTTCCGTTAACTACTATTCTATACCTAACCGACCTATTTCCCTTAACAGTAGGGTTGTTAGAACAAAATATGTTAAACAGTTAAAGCAGATTAGATAGATAAAATAGGTAGAACAGGTGCACTAGGTCTGCACCATAACACTAACTTTGTTTTTAGTAGTATAAATTAAAAAGAAAATAGAAGATATTAAAGTAGAACTATATTTAGTTCAAAGTATTAGTTACTATATAAGCTTTAGTAGTAACAGTAAGATCTTATTTTTACAGATACCATTCTACTGTTACTGATAGATTCAGTTTACTTTTTATTTTATTATTAAAAACCTAAACTATACTAGCCTTTAGACTATTCTATATACAGCCCCTTTATGTGCTATACAGATCCTGATAATCTAGATTTGTCTTATATAGTGCTATCTGATTTGAATTATCAAAACTGAGGTTTTATATTGATAACTATTTGTTCTCTGGTTAGAAATATCCTTCTTCTTCTTAAGCTGTTACTTACTGCTGGGTGGGCTTTAATTGCCTCTTATGGCTGGTAGGACATCTTTTGCAAGAACTGCGCGGACTAAGACTGACCAACTACAGGCTTTATATCTATCTAATATCCTGGCTGTTATACTAAGCCTCAGCGCCTTAGACGTCAGAGGCAACACCAAGCATGACATGGTCAACGCCATGTTCTTTATTGGATACTGTACCGGGCGCATTGCAGCTCCTCAACTCTGAAAGCCCAGTGCCGTTGAAGATGGCACAGGCCACTTAGCAGGAAAAGGCCGCGCACAAACAGTCGCATGCCCAACGAAGCATTCCATCGAAATGGCTTCTGCCGGCCTCCTGTCTGGCCCTGCCCGAGGGGTACCCGCCAACAGTACTCGATATCCCACAGCGGTGTGCCCTGCTATCCCTGAGAGAGGTCGATATCACGGAAACCGTCGATGCAACTGCCTTGTTTAAGAATCTCGCCTCGGTCGAGTACAGCGCAGTCGAGGTTACGGCCGCTTTCTGCAAGCGGGCAGCCATTGCGCGAGGTGCATCCGAGTTCCTGGGCTCTGCTGCGGCCTCACTGACTTCAAGCCTACGGCAAATCGAGTCCCTTGTGAAGGTCAGTCCTCCGCCGCGCGCCCTGGCATAACAAGCAACCGCATTCTGCCCTCCGAGGCCCCCCTGTGCCACACGGTTTGGGATGTTACACAGCTGCTGGAAGCAGCCATCAATTAACATCCGGCTAATCTCGACGACAATGCGATTGAAGTACCGTGGCGGAACCTGACCCCGCGGGGCTCACCTCTTCGGGTCGGTGTGCTGCCAGCACGTCGGCGCCAAGTACGCCTTTGTGCGCCTGCTGCGCGACTCGAGGCACTTGCAGGCAAATACTCTCGGGCACTGGTTCACGTGGCTCGGTATCAACTTTCTCCTGGGCGCAGCTGCATTCATCGTGGCCGAGGCGGTGCCAGTCTTGAACTATCTGCTTGCGCTGGCCAGTGCAGTGTGCTTCGCCCCCTTCAGTTTGGTGTTCCCGCCGCTCTTGTGGATGTATGATCAAAAAGGCTGCGGAGTGAGGTCCGCCGGACAGAAGGTCAAGCGTGGCCTTCATGCGGTGATTGTGGCGGTTGGGATCTTGATGATAGTGGGTGGGATGTGAGTATTCTCGACCCCTATATACAGGGCGATGTTTAAAATGCTAACTAGGGCTATCGTCTAGTTACTCCGTTGCTATATCGATCCGAAACGCCTTCGCCGACGGGGATATTTCCCGTGTCTTCGACTGCAGGGACAACTCTGGCTTCAGTTCGTAAATGTGTTATGAACCAGCAGAGCGGAGGCGGAGGCAACATCCAAGCTGATCCAGGGAATTAAAATGATTGTGATAGACGCAATATTTGATGGCTGGGTAATGGGCTATATGGAATGATTTCTTTTCTATAAATAAGATAATGAGCGTCCGACACAACCAGCTCCTAGCCAAGCCAGGTCCACGCTTGAATCTGCCCGATTTCGTTGAAACTATAAGCGGCAACTGATATACATACTTACGCCGTCGAACCACTCTTAAACTCGGTTGCCGAATCTCGATTCTCACATCAACACGGCCATCATCATATGCAATCAGGCCATCATTTCCTAATATGAGCGGTAAATGATCGGCTATCCTCTGTTCTCATTGACAGCACATAGCCGCTCTCCGACATTACTGATACTCTAGAAATACTATATCTTAATTCTTAAGTATTATATATAGTATCTATATAACTTATTCTCTTCTTATTTCTCGATAATTCTATCCTAATATACTATACTATAGAAAAGCGTATTAATCATGTTATGGATAACCTCCGAATACATGGCGAACTGTCGACGGCACACCTACGCATCCCCTATATAACAGTTATAATATTAATAACTCCCGACTTTCTTAGTACTTAACTTCTAAGACCTTGCTAGACTATTAGAATAGCAAGATTAGTCTTGAATATGATAGACTGCTACTATTCTATACCTAACCGACCTATTTTCCATAACAATATAACCCAAATAAAATATTTAGTACTAATATTATCTATTTTACATTTATTTTCCTCGTCCTTGAAAAAATATTAAGCCCTGTTCTAATAATTATTTTATATTTAATTTAGAGTTTCTAAGAGTGATATATTCTTAAGTACTAATAGTATAAATCCAAGTTCTTACCAAAGTTACTAAAAAGACTTTAATTATAGGTTAATAATACTCTACAACTACTTTAGACCTATACTTCTTCTACCTACTACCCTTTTAGACCTTGTAATATTTAACAGCACCAGAGGCCTTAAAACGTGTCTACTTGTAGTATATATGTAATAACCTTTTAGAAACACCTAACAGCTGAATAAGGCTTATGTCATGGGTAACCTTCGAACACATAGCGGACTGCTGAGGGTTTACCTACTCTGTACGTATCCCCCGCGTAACATTCAGTACATCGCAGTCGTTCTGTCCGGTGTGCCGCCCACTTCCGACGTCGAAAGCGGAAATGCTCCAGTCTCTTTGGCTTGTCCACATGCACATTGATGTGTCTCTGCCACGTTGATTCGATAGAGGTATCCATGCGATCTTGCCATGCCTGTTCGAAGTTGTGTGCTAGTGATCGGGATCGTATGTGCCGTGCGCCCTCAGGTCACAGATCCCTGCATGCAGCTACCAATGGCTTTCGCTGATAATATGCATGGGTGCCGTGAGAATTGGGTGATGAGTTGGGCAGAAACTTAAAAAGCGCGAGACCCCCTACTGATTTTCAGGATGACCTTTCGAAAAACAGCAAATCAAGCACACGCGCTGACTGCAATTTTGATATGCGGAATGCAGAAATCCGTATCTTTTTCCTGTCCAGGATGCGAGAGAGGAGGGTTCCGGAGCTTGATGGAGGCTCAGGAGCACTTTGAGAAGCAATCGCACTCTGTGCGGTGTACCGTCTGCCAAAAGGCATTCGGCAGCGGCATGGCAGTCATACAGCATTATCAAAAGCACGTCAAAGCTCGGGAAGCTCCAATCAATACGAAAAAGCCCATTCAGAAGAGAAAAGCTTTTAACCAGCATTCAGCAGGTCCGGCAATAGCGTCGCCATCACCCCCTGGAAATGGCCAGATGTACTTTCAAGAAACTCTCCTGACAGCTGTCGGAAATACAATGCATTTTCGAGAGGAGCGTGATCCGATCAACTTGCCTTTTTCGTTGCCTTGGATCATATCGGATGGAACTGCTGCTAATGGTAACAACCCTTGCAATCTTTGCTCCCTTTTGCAGTCGCCCATGCGACCAAGTGATCTACATAAAGACTAACTTGGTATCCAGGAAACTCTTGGCTAGGAATCAATTTCGACACAAACACCCACCCCGTCGTCCTGCATCCTCTTGAACAGTGTCTAATTCTGAGGTATCTGCGTTCCAAGTGCCATTCAGAGAGCCGCCTCCGGAGGGAAGGATACATCCTAGGGCCAATCACAGTAAGGAATAAACACTTCCCACGGAAGGGGTCCATTCCCACTTATCAATTTCGCGAAACGCCGTCTGCGGAACAGCCTGGACTCAAGAGACATGCCATCGCACTCGATTGTGAGATGATCGGTGTCAAAGGCAATCGTCAAACCCTCGCGTTCATAAGTGCCATTGACTTTTTGACTGGCGATGTTCTCATTGATCGCTACGTAGCACCATCCGAGGAGGTCATTGACTGGAGATCAAAAATTACCGGAATAACCCAAGATGTTATGACAAGCGCCACGATATCTGGCGCTGCATTCAGGGACTGGCGAGAAGCGCGCGAGAATTTATGGAAATTTGCCGATACATCCACTGTTTTCGTCGGCCAATCCCTCAATTATGACCTTGAAGTTCTGGGAATCTGTCACAACAAAGTCGTTGACTCCGCCATTTTGACTGCGGAGGCTGTATTCCCATCCACTGGCATCACGGAGAGTCTACCTCGCGCATGGAGCTTGAAGGCCGTGGCCAAAACTCTGTTGGATTTGGAGATTCAGAGCGGAGATCGTGCGCACAGTGCTTTGGAAGACGCATATGCGGTACGCGACGTGATCATATTCTGCATCAGAAACCCGGAACAGTTAAAGTCATGGGCAGAGCTTCGACAGAAAGAAGAGGGACAAAAGGGCAAAAAGAGCCGGCACAAGAACAAGCCCAAACGAAATCCGACCACGTCGCAATCTACTCGAGATATCCAGCTTAGTACTCAGGTGTTAAATAATGAGTTTGAATACGATACCCATGACGATAATGATTTTTGCATGTCTGAGTATGCTAGGGATGCTGGCTGGCCAGACGGGTGGGATCCTTGGTCTGATTGATTCAACTTCCTGTCAAATGTCCAAACAGAACACGAAAATCTGGTAATCTATCGGAGAATGGAGGCAGCTTTCCATACATCCTACTATTTGAAAAAGAATGAAACGTGATCTGAAAACATTGAACGCAGGTCTGTTCGTCAGCCCCTATCGAACCAGGTCGCGGATGAAATATATCGTTCCATCACATAGGTCATGGAAACATCTATACGTCATCGGCGGATTTCATTCCAGGGGGGGGGATTCTGGCGACATCCAAACACCAGCCTCATATCACAACAGAAACGTGTTGAGTGGATTCGTGGCAGGGAGATATTCGAGCCGCCGAGCTCAATTTGGCTTAGCGCAGGGCTCGCCACTGTAGACTTGGCGCCTCCAGAGAGGAAGGATAATGGGAGACCACATCCGAGAAGCTTTCTTTTGCTTAAATGAGCGTGTTCCTAGCCCCTCTTGTCATTGAACGGTCAAGAATGCTGTTTGTGGGGCAAGTTATCTGAGGAGGTTCTAACGCGCGTTGCTGTAAGCCGCTGAATCCAGGCCTTCTATTATGAGCGCAATCGCAATACCATTGAAATTAGCCTCGGCAATATCTTGTGGAAGAATACAGGAAGCCAATTGAGAGCTAACACCTTGATGGTTAGGTATTTCAGTCTGACTATGAGGAAATTCTCCAAGACGGAGAATAAGCTGTAAGTTACAGGTGCTTACTGTATACCAGAGTACTAAGCAACCAGTATAGTCAAGCTATTGATACTAAATATTTTTATGTATCAATAAATAATTGAGTATCTAGTTTCTACTGGGCTGATGATTTTTGTAGATCTTGGAAGCTAGCTAAAGTATAGTATTACCTTCACTATTTGAAGTTTTTATATTTATATTAATGATGTAATCGGTAAGCGAGTCGGCCATGTAAGCGAGTCGGCCACCCATGTATTATATATACAGTAGCTGATTTTCATCTCTAACTATCTTAATAATTTTAGAATATATACCCCAAATGTATGTGATACATAATCTAAAAGTTTATTTATTTCAGTATTAGAAGCAACCTCTAGACAAAGATAAAATCATATACACCCAAGCCTAAGAGATTGAAAGTTATTAATAAGTAGATACAATAACTAAGGAAAGGATATAAACTTATAGAGTCAGAATATTACAGTAGACCCTAAAAATACCTTGACTAACAAACACATCATAATTGTTTCTGTGTCTTACTTGGGCTCCACCGAAGGTGAATTGAGCACTGGTACTGGCAGGCCGGAAGGAAGTCATTTCATTTTGCTTCGAGGCAAGTCAACAAGGAGAGGCCGCCCGCTTTGCTTTTTTGGTTATCTTTTGCCTGTAGATACGTGGCTCTTTTGTGCAGCACGCTACTAAGTTACTATGTGTATAGCCGATAGCCAATCTAGATCTCGGGGCTCCAGGGCTGATGTTCTTCCCCCTCTGTTGTGTTTTGTGCCTAGAGATATGGAAGGTGAGGGCGATTGCGCTTGATGAGGGTGCAATTTGATCTTTGGATGGAGTATGTATATGTCGGCTGTGCTGTTGTGATTCGGAAAGAGTCCTGAGGCTGCTGGCTTGTTTTTGTCGGGTTCATTTCTCTAAAAGTCGGAGGGAAGGGGGATGTATGCTACAGATGTGGAGGGCTGGATGGAGAAACATCCCGGGGTGTACAAGTACAGATCGGCGGCATGGATCTGGAGCAGACCAGGGACATCTAAGAATGTCTATCATTGGCTATCGTCCTCATCCTCGTCCTCGCCGGCATCATCGACAATCGGGAACGTCAGCAAGGCCGCAACGCCGCCCAGTCCATCCAACCGCCGGCCGCTCTCATGATCCGAGCTCAACACGCGCACCTCGCCACCCTCGACATCCCGCACGCGGTCCACCAGCGAGACCCAGCGTTTGCGCTCCGCCACGTCCTGCGACCGGAACAGCCGGTTGGAGATGATCAGCACGCCGCCGCCGCGGCCCACGGCCCCCTGGTCGACGGCCGACTCGACCTCGCGGGGGCCGTAGGTCGCCTTGTTGGTCTCCTTGCGCAGCTGGTCCAAGAAGTCATCCATGAGCTTCGTCTCGCGCGCGTACTTGGTGTCCGCCAGAATTGTCTTCACCGCGGGCGACTGCAGCACCTCCGCCAGGGAGTGGAGGTAGCCCGAGGCCGAGTGCACGACCACGATGCTCGGCAGGAGGCGTTTGAGCGCGGGCATGCTGGTGCTGGCGACCGATTGGATGTATTTCTGGAACCCGGCCGCGACAAAGCCCGGCGACGCGAGGAGGACGGGTCGCACGGTCTCGTTGCTGGTGGAGAGCGCCGTGGCGCTGGTGTTGAATTCCATCTGCCGGACGAGGGTATCGAGGGTGACTTGGAAGAATTTGTTCATGCCCTGGAATTCCCAATGCCAGGAATAAGGCGGGACTGTTAGCAAGGATAGACCGTTATGAGTTGGGTAGAGTAGGGGCAAAGGTTAAACGGTTTCTAGGGAACACAAAGTAGCAAGGGCAAAAAACATTACCTTGTCATGATCCCCGCCGCCGTGCCGTTTGCGAGGCACAGACATCTCGACCTTTTGTTTGAGGATCGTCTGAAACTGCCCGATGAAGCAAATATGAGCCAGTCCCTCCTGCATCACCACGGCCACGGCCTCGGCCCGTCGATTCCCACCCTCGTCCACCGCATCCTTGAGCATTTGCACGGCGATGCTGTCCCATCCCACCCCCTCCCCGTCGGAGCCAATCTCCTTCTCGAGCGTGAAATTGCGGTTCAGTTCGAGGTCGAGCGTGTGGTGCTGTCCGACCTTGGTGTGTGCCGTCTCGTTCACGATCTGCCCGCTGACGTGCAGCTGCGAGCTCTGCGGGTCGAAGTCGAGGCTTTTCACCCGGATCTCGAGGTTCAGGTGCACTCGCGCCGAGCTTGTCGAGCCGGTCTCTTGGGTGGTGGTCACACGGCGGATGGCGCTGGCGCGGAGTAGGTCGCCCGGGCGGATGAGATTGTATGCATGCCACTGTATTCGGGGAAAGGGGGGTAAGCATGGGGACTCAACGTTGGTGGTCTCGCGTTGCGTACCATATCCTCTGGTTCTTCGGGGCACAGCGTCACCGTCCCGGAGCCATTGAGCTCGATTTTATTCTTGACAAGACGCATGATGATTTATTCTCGAATTTGACACAATCTATTTGTATAGAAGAGAGAGTATATGGGTATCAGATTCGTACGAAAGCAAAGCGCTCGCTCGTTTGTTGGTATCACGCTCTGCAAACTCGGCGCTGCTGCTGTTCTGTCTATTGCGTTCTGGAGAAATGACGAAGGGCAAGCGGCCTAAGGCAGAAGTGCGGGACACTTCCCGAAGAGGAAAAGTGCAGCTTGTGGCCGATGCTTATCGATAAGAGATAACGAAGCGAGCTCTTCGTAGATCGTGGTTTGGTTGTTAGCATGTGTCTGTGCCTCATTCGAGGATCTTCTTTTGGTATGTTATGTCTCATCATAGTTTCTGTTCAGATTGAAGCTATACCTGCTCGAAAATAGGCTCTCATATGTGTCAAGAGGATTTTGTTTAGCTCGCTGCCGGAAACATATATTCCAGCAACTTATCCGTTCACGGAGCTAGAGGACCATCAGGCACGAAGGCTATGGCTCATTAGGAGCAGGCAAGATATTTTTGCCGTTGGCCGTACTGTCCTGATCTCTCTAACTTCCATCGCAATCACCCTCTGTCTTCCCAATAGACCGTCGAACCCCGAGCTTCGTTCAAAGAAAGAGACTCCCATAGTACCCAATTCCGTGGGTCTTTCGTTCAGGAGAATCAACAGCCGTCTGCGAATGGATGGGAGATCCCAGCTCGACCCTGCTACTCCACACTTTGATGATAAGACTCAATCGCTTCAGCATTTGTATATTCGGTCTCGGCGCCATATCTAAGCCTACTTTAAAGGCCTGTTCATCCCGTCGCTATCGGCTGAAACGGTATGCAGACACAGACATACTTAAAACCTCAATCATACTCAGCAAACATGAATGAGAATTCAAAATTCTCAGTTCAAACCTTCTAAAGAGACCGAGGCCATGCTATGAACGAATCATGAAAGCATGTCCGGCATCGAGTAAACACAGGCTTGGTTCGAACACTCGCTCGTACCCTCGATGCAAACCCACGAAAAAGCAGGGCACCGGCGGTCGGATGTCCGAAACTCGGCTTGACCGCTGTCTGCAAGCCCAGGGACGGACGGAATCTTCAACTGATTGATAAAGTCAAAAGGACCCACAATTGATCTCTCGGCCCACGGCGATGGCGCATCCCTCGTGGGCATGCGGAGCGGGCACCTTGGAACTTGGAAATTAGTTTTTGAATGTTTTGTCCGCAACTTCGACGTTCCCTCTTGATCTGTCCAGAATCGTCTATCTTAGTGCCCCCCTTCACTTGTATCCTGCTTGCCCAGAGTGACAGTGTACACTCTCGATCCCAGACATCATGGCTCCACTTTCCCTCGCGTCGACCAGGAAGATGGTCTCGGGATACGAGATCCCGGTTATAGGGTTCGGGGTGAGTGATGCTCAATCCACGAAATCTCCATCTCAAGCAGCAATTAACAGAAATCTCGGCGTTTCAGTCATATCAGACGTAAGTCTTAGGATTGAGCAATTGGCTTTCAACTGATGCATTCCGTGGTTCTGGCTGACAATTGCTTCTCCGCATCGTAGTCCTCCCGACGTCACCGAGAAAGTGATCCTCAAGGCCCTAGAGGCTGGCTACCGTCATGTATGGTCCTCTATCCATTCTCCCGGTTACCATTGCAGCACAATGGAGTTAACATCACACCTGTCCAACGTCTGTCACAGATCGACTGTGCGCAACTATACCAAAACGAAGCCGAGTGCGCGGCAGCTATCCACAAATCGGGGATCAACCGCTCTGAAATCTTCTACACGAGCAAGATCCCCGATACTCATATGTCTTACGAAAAGGCCAAGGAAGCTATCGAGGCCAGTCTGTCCGCAGCAGCATGCCTAGGCTACATCGACCTGTACGTTCTATTTCGTTTCCCAAGCTTAGCGGGATCACTACCAGGGAACTTACCCCGCTACACACAGTATGCTTCTGCACGCGCCCTACGGAGGTAAAGAAGGTCGACTCGGCGCGTGGCGCGCCCTCGTGGAAGCGCAGAAGACCGGCAAGATCCGCTCCATCGGCGTCTCCAACTACGGAATCCGCCACCTGGAGGAGCTGGAGCACTACATCCAGACCAGCGGCGTCGGGGGCCAGATCTCCGTCGGCCAGTACGAGATCCACCCCTGGTGTGCCCGAGAGGACATCGTAGCGTGGCTGAAGAAGCGGGACATCGTCGTCGAAGCTTATTCGCCGCTGGTGCAGGCGAAGCGGATGAACGAGCCGATGCTGCAGAGCTTGGCTAGGCAGTACAAGAAGACCCCGGCGCAGGTTCTGGTTCGATGGAGTTTGCAAAAGGTTTGTTGGAGCGCAGCTTTCCTTTTTTAGTCTCTCAGCGACAGATCTGAATGATGGCTAATTTGTGAGCTTGTAGGGTTATGTCCCGTTGCCCAAGTCGGTGACTGAGTTGCGGATCCGAGAGAATACGCAGGTCTTTGATTTTGAGTTGTCTCAGGACGATATGCGTCGTCTGCAGACGGACGAACATGCTCCTGTGTGCTGGGACCCTGCTCGGGATTCGAAGCTGTAGAAGAGGCAAGCAGCATAAGCTGTTCTGCTGGGGATTGAGTTCGATGCACATAGATATGCAGCTAATCAATACATATTCAACTGCTTAGAATCATTAGATGAACCACTAATCTGGGCACGTTAATGGTTGTGGATGGCAGCACCCACGGTGTAGTTACCCGGATCAAACAATGTTCCCGCTTCGGTACAACGTATCCCCGCAACGGCTTGCTTGCCTTCCGCCTCGCCTTTCCGCCTCATAGTTTCCTTGCAAACAATTAACTACCCGGGGGGTGGCATCACTCATCTTTGTTTACCTTTGTTTTTTTTTTATGTGATTCTCAACACATCCACTTACTCAGTCGTTCTCTCATATACTCGCATAAAACCAACCCCATATCTCCAAAGAACAAAAAACCCCCCAATATCAAATGTCTATCCCCTGCCCAAGAACCAGGAGTACCGCTACCACGCCCGCAACCAACGATCCTACTACCTCCGTCTAATCTCCGCCGGCCGCCAGCCCGCCCTTCATTTCCCCCCCCACCACCACCACCACCACCACACTCCCCCCCGGAAACAGACAATCAATATGCCCCCCTCCCCCGCCCCTCCAAAGCGCATCATCCTCGAGAAATCCCGCACGGTGCGCCGCCGCTACCAGCGCAGCAACAAGCGGTTCCAATTCACAGCGTCGCAGATCGCGCGCATCGAGCGCGAGCAGGCGCGCGAGCGCCGAGCGCAGCAGCTGCGCGACCGCGATCGCCAGCGCGTCGCCGCCAAGAAGAAGAAGGCCGAGAAGGAGGCGCGCGACCGCCAGGAGCGCCGGAGGCTCGGGTCGATGGGCTTGCCGGATCCGAATGCGCCGGTCGTGCCTTCGAGTCAGCCTTCGTTGTTGCGGTTTATACAGAAGCCTGCGGCGGTGCCGGCGGTGGGGGCTCCTTTGGATGGTGTTTGTGCGGGTGTGGGTGCGGTTGGGGATGTGGAGGTGGGTGGTGAGGGTGGTGTTGATGGTGATGATAGTTTGGAGGAGGATACTGAGTTTGAGGAGGTTGATCTTGAGGGGTGGGAGAGTGGGTCGGTTTCGGGTGCGGAGGAGGTTGCGGCTCATGGTGAGTTGGGGGAGGAGGAGGGTTGTGGACTTGGTGTGCAGGTCGAGGAGCGTGAGGATGCTGCGCGCGCTGCGGGTGCTGCTGCGGATAACACTACTGATACTGATGATGAGTTCGGCTGGGAGGAGGACCTTGCGGAGGTGGATGAGTTCTCGGATTGCTCCATCTTTGATGATGAGGAGATCATCCAGAAGAGTGAGGGTGTTGCGGCCGATGTGTTGGACACGAATGCGATAGGCACCAATACAATCAACGCCAATGCGATAGACACGAATGCGATAGACGTCGTTGCGATAGACACGGACCTTATGGACACACCCCAGGCCGAGCCTCCGACGGTGCAAGGCGCTATACCTGCCTCGTCGGCAGGCGACTCATTTCAGGACGACACAGCCATTTTGTTGGAGCAATTGGGCCATGAGTTCGACACCGACGAGGAGTTCGAACAGGCATTGGTTGCATTGGACGCTGTGTGAGGAAGTATAACTGACTGACGGATTAATGCAATGCAATCACCTCGGCTTCCGAACCGACGGCGATCCGCGCACGTCGGATGGCGGCCCTGGGCGGGAAGCCCCTCGTCGGGTCGGGCGGTGATAAGCTGAGCGGCTGGCGTTCCCCGCCCGCCATTCTCATCTCCAAATCATCCGACGGATTCTTTTGCCTGGTACAGCACGGATTCCTCGGAGACACAATGGAATAGTTGGGGCGATACACTGGATATACGGCTACAGCGGGAGAAAAAGAACTGCCGCAAAAGTACAGGACTAGCGACATGGCACAGCTCGGAAGCGTTGCAACATCTGTAGGAGAAAGGCGAGCGAGCGAAATTCCCCGCCCACGCCATGACGTCGACCCCGCTCCAGCTTCGTTGAGCTTTCTGCGTGTCAAACTTCCGATCACGCATTTCTCTCTCTCCCCTTTCCTTTCCGTCTGCTAGAAAACCAGTGCTCAACATCAAACACAAGCGCGAGGAGCCAGAAGGAAGCACATCATGCCTACCGTCACCGTCAACAACCACGAGATCTACTACGCCGACTCCCACCCGGACGGCGCCCCCGCCCACGGCTCAACGCTCATCTTCATCCACGGCCTCGGCTCCTCGCAGAACTACTACTTCCCCGTCCTCCCGCACCTGGAGCAGCACCGGTGCATCACATTAGACACCTATGGCTCCGCGCGCTCGCCCTACACCGGCCAGCCGGTGTCCATCGCCTCCATCGCCGCAGACGTGGTCGGCGTGCTGGACGCGTTGAAGGTGGCCCAAGCCGTGGTCGTGGGCCACTCGATGGGCGGACTGGTGGTGACGCTCCTGGGCGCGCAGTACGCGGACCGCGTGAAGGCTGTGGTGGCTATTGGACCAACCCACCCCTCCGACAAATTGGCCTCGGTCATGACCCAGCGCAGCGAGACGGTCGCCAACTGTACGTTCTTTACACCACGTCAGCTATAATCTCGAGGTGCTATGCTAACGGGCAACTGGCAAACTAGCGGGCATGGAGCCCATGGCCAACACCATCCCCAGCGGCGCCACCGGCACCCGCTGCTCGCCGCTCGCCAAGGCCCTGATCCGCGAGTTGATCCTCGGCCAGAACCCCAAGGGCTACGCGGCGCTCTGCCAGGCCATCGCCACGGCCCCGGCCATCGACTACTCGGCCATCTCGGCCCCGTTCCTGCTGATCGCGGGCGAGGAGGATAAGTCGGCGTCGCTGGAGGGGTGTCAGCATATCTTCGATCGGGTGTCGAGTGGGAACAAGAAGATGGAGGTTCTGCCGCAGATCGGACATTGGCATTGCGTCGAGGCGCCGGAGGAGGTGGGCGGTCTGATTCGGGGATTTGCCGCTGCTTTGTAGATATCTGCTAGTAGCGCGGTTACTTGACAAATGAATGACTCCACAATGGAGGAAGTTGAGAGGTGAAGTTTGGTAGAGAGAGAACTATAAACCGAGAAATATCATCGACTCTGAGCTCAGAGCTGTCCATGGAAGTCACATGATGAATCATAGAAATGAATAACATAGTTCGGTATCACATCAATCAATATATACAGAAAAACCCCCTTCCTCTGCCAACATCGTACACACACACACATCTTCCTAGAATTTTCCCAAAGCGTAGACACCGTCTAGCTCGACGCCAACGCCGGCGCCGGCACCAACTTGACATCATACTGCAACTCAAGACCAGCTTGAGGGTCACCCTTGCGCTCGACAAAGTCCACGATCAGGGAGTCCTTGACGGCGAAGACCGAGTCGTTGGTGAGGTAGGGGTCCTTGCGATCGAAGATCTGCGTGGTGAGGGGTTTGTATCCTTCGTAGGTGGCCTATCGACGTGATTAGCTTTTCATCCTCATTCTGCGTGACCATCCAATGTTCCCGGAATAGGATAGGGTAGGTTCCAACATACAATGATATGAATATGCGCCGGCCGGAACGGATGCCGATCCATCAACTCCAACAATTTCCCCGCAGGACCTATGCCCTCATCGTCAGCACACACCTTCACTCCTCCGGAAAGGGGAAAACCCACCATCATCTGGCACCGGATACGGCGTGGGCCGCAGACAATAGAACGCATAGCGGCCGTCGGCGTCGGTGCGGAACTTCCCGCGCAGGTTGAACTCCTCCTGGGCGGGGTCCTGCTGCTCGTACAACCCGTTGGTGCTAGCCTGCCAGACCTCGACGGTGGCGTTGACGAGCGGCTGCTTCGTGGCGTGGTCGACCACGCGGCCGTGCATGTAGGCCATCTCGCCGCCGGGGGCCGCCGTGCGCACGATCGACTCCCCGTTGTGGCGGAAGGGGGTATCGGCCCGGAAGAACGGGCCTAGGATCGCGGTGGCGGTGGGCGCGTCGTGCGCTTCGGCGGCGAGGGTGTAGGTAATTTCGTCGACGAGGCTGGTTGTCGTTGTTGTTAGTGGGTGGTGTTTTTAGGGGGGGGGGGAGAACGTACGACTCCAACCCAATCACGTCGGTCACTAACTGTCCCTCGTTCCGCTTGTCGTCGCTCATCTGTCCGGCCCAGTTCATGAACTTGACGGCCGCCATCCACTCGTCGACGGTCACCTCGTTCTCGCGGGCGAAGTCGTGGACGTGGCGGATGAGGCCCGTCATGAGTTGGCGGAACCGCGGGGTCGTTTTGGGACCCATCGCGTTGATGACATTGTCGGTGAAGTTGGGGTCGAAGCGGTGGGGGGCGGACATTTTGGCTTCTTTTTTGGGGTCCAGGGTATAAGGTATGGGTATGGGTATGGGATGTTGCAAGAGAAGGCAGTGGGTGGGTTGAGAGCCAGCTGCGATTATATACTTACTTCTGTTCTACTCACCAAATGATCTGCTGATGGTCAGCTTGCCTTTTCGGCGGCCCCGGATTTGTTGGCGACGGAGGGTGATTGGCGTCGGAAGCGGAAGGAACCCCGCCTCTTTGGACTTCGGATTTCTCCCTTCCGATTTCCCCGCAGTTGCCTTCCGATGTCTGTCTACATGTATGTACAGACACACGGGAATATCCAATTCAATTCTCTACCAAACAGTCACCTTCCGTCGGACCCCTCTGCCTGCCCCTCTGCCTGCCCCTTTGCCTGCCCCTTTGCCTGCTGCCCCTTCCCCTTAGGATTCCGGCGCCGACTCCATTCCACCGGCCACGGCTGCACGACCGCCCCGCGCTCCCAGATCGTGCCCAGCCGCCGCTCGACCACGGCATCCACCACCTCCAACGGCACCCGGCCCTCGATCCCCTCACTCAGGATGACCCCGTTCTCACTGCGCCAGAACGGACACCCCAGCTCCAGCGCCTTCACCAGATCGATATAGATCAACACCTGGGCATCGCGCCGCATCCCCGAGATCACCTGCCCTGGCCCGCCGACGGCCCCTTCTTCCTTTCCCTCCCCGCCCTGCTGCTGCAATCGCGCCAAAACCACCTCCCGCGCCGGGCCCGTCGCAAAATGCACCTGATTCCGGCCCATGCACCGCAGGCCCCCAGATTCAAGAATCAACGGCCACGCCCCGTGGAACGTGCCGTGGACGACCGTCGACGGGAGGTCGGCTCCGGTAGTCAGACTCAGCCGCTCCAAAAGGCCCGCGGCCTCGACGGTCTTGATGCTGTGGCCCTGCGTCGCGCGGATGAGGTAGTGGGTGGGGTCTTGGTCGGTGGTGGCGGCGGCGGCGGCGAGGGCGGTCGCTGTTGCGGTTTCGGTTTCGTCGGCCGTCGTCGTTCTCGCTCCTGTCGGATCCCCTGCTTTCTCAGCCGCGGCTGTAGACTCCGCCGTAGACTCCGCCGTAGAACTAGATGGAGATGTAGATGTAGGCGGGAGATACAACAACCCAAACCGCTTCTTATCCGAGCTGGCGACCGCGTCCACGATCTCGGGGAAGGTGACCTTTAGGGATTTGAGCTTTCGCCAGGCGAGCTGTCGTTCCATCATTCAGTCAGTCAGTGGTAGCCCCGCCAATCTGCTGTATCTGATCAAAGTAAAATCCCAGTGACGATGGTCCCAGGGAAAAAAAAATGAAAAGCACAATCCAAAGAAAGTGAAGAAAGCAAAGGGCAAGGCACAAACATACCAAATCCCCCACGCTCGCATACCCCTGCGCATCCATCGCTAACCCTTCCTTCTCGGCCGCATGCCGCAGGATAAACGACATCGCTTTGGAGACGGTCACCTGCCGGCTGGTTTTCGGGTCCTCGTGGCGCGGTTTACTTCCGCCTCCTCCGCGGCCGCCTTTTTTGTCTTTGCGATTGGGGTGCGGGGGTTGGGGTGCGGTGGGTGCGGTGGGTGCGGTGGGTGGTGGGGTTTCGTGGGTGGACATGATGCCGGGATTTGTTCTGGGTTCTGGGATTGAAGCTGTAGCTGTAGCTGTGGCTGTGGCTGTAGCTGTGGATGGGTGTGGGTGTGGGTGTGGGTGTGGGTGTGGGTAATGCTTGGTGGTGTACTGCTGCTGAAGGGGTGGAAAGCGGTTGACTCGGCGGAACGCGTGGAGGGGAGGGCTAACGCTGTGGTTCACGGAGCGAGATCTTGGTGTAAATGTCGTCGGGACAGAATTTCGGAGGAGGTAGCGGTTGCTCATGCGGGGTGCGGGGTGAGGTGTTATGTGTCGCTGTTGTTGAAAGTGTTACTCCTTCTGGGTGCGAAAGTCGAGGTCGAGTCGTGGAGGAATTCGACATCATCGGCGGGAGGGCCGCGGGCCCACTTTTGACTGCCCTCATTATGTACTACAAGTGTTGACGGTATACTCCCGAGTCAATTATTCTACAACGAACTGTCCTGTCTATCACTATTACCACTGACGATGCTAAAATGGGTATATCACAGATCACATCCCCCCCGCGCAAATCATCGATCACAAATACAGCTACACTCCGCCACCGGGCAGACCTTGTGTTTCGCAAACCACTCCCGCGCATGGTGGGCGTGGAAGCCATGGTTACAATTGATGCAGAACACAATGAACCGGCGCATCAGCTCCGACTCGCTCGGCCGCCGGTTCTCCGCGCCGCCCGCGTCGGCCGCCACGTACGCCTTGGACATGGGATCCGGGGACCCCAGCCAGAGCGTGCAGACGCCGCAGCGCGGCATATGGCGACCGCACCGGGGACAGACTGTGCCGGACATGGCGGCCGTGCCCAGCGGGTTGCCGGCCGTCGGGTGCACCACCTCGCCCGTGGCGGCTGGGGTGAGCTGCGACGAGGCGTCGTGCTGCGTGAGCGGCCGCGTGCAGTAGTTGCAGGTGAGGCTGATCTGCTGGCGCGGCGGGTCCATCAGCTTGCGACCGTCCCACGTCACGGCGAACTTGCGCGAGCCGACGTCGAACCGGGCCCGTTCCAGCTGCAGCTTCCAGCTGTTGATCTGCCACCGGTAGGTCTCGCGCCAGGCCTGGAACCGGGCGCGGTACGGCGGGTAGCTGATGAACCGCGGCACGGTGTGGCTCAGCGCGAGCACCGCGGTCTGGATGTCGTGGAATTTGGTGATGTAGGACTGGAACAGGTCCATGGCCGAGTGGCCGAGGCCCGTGAGCACGACGCCCTCGATGTCGCCCTGTCTAATGACTTCCTGCGTCGCTTCGTGCAGGTACGTGGTGAGGTCGTCGTCTGGGAGCCAGCGCAGGGCGACTTCGATGCGGTACCGCAGAGGAAGCGTGGTCTCCTGGATGACCGAGTTCCAGTCCCCGCGGCTGACCAGCGCCAGGATAGCCCGCGCGTACGGGTCCGTCAACTCCTTGGCGATCTCAGCGCAGGTCTCCTCCCAGTCGGGGTCGGTGTCGCCTTTCGCTGCGCCGGCAATGGCCATGGCGAGGAGCTTGTGCGCCTGTGCTGGCTCATGGCTTCGTAGCGCCAGGTAGGCCAGCTTGGGTTCGTCCTGAAAGATGGCCAACGCGGCGGCCTTGGTGTGCTGCTTATCTGCCGACAGGTTCTTGACGAGCTCTTCTAATTCACGGTATGATTGCGCGGCACCGCATATCCGTAGACACAGTCGTCGGTGTTCTGCATAATCTGTCTCGCAGCCCTTAGTTTCTGGTAGGTTCAGCTGCTCGCGAACCAGGTGGACAATCGTCTCGTTGATGTCGGGCGGTGAGTCTGAGCTCACACGTCGAGCTTCCAGGCTCTCTCCTACCCAGTGTTAGTACTGTCATGACCCACTCAAAGCTTTCTTACCCAAATCACTGTTCCACACGTCGTAGACCCCCAAGTAGTTCAGATCCAATCCGTTGATGATCATCGATTCGTTGGAAGAGGCAGACCGCGCACCTGGTCAAATTAGCAGGGCTACAATAGCACCCGAGCAGCGTAGAACATACGTTCAATCCAGTCCCAGAATCCCTGGAGCCAGGGGTCATCTGCCAATATATTCTTGTTCCGGGCTTCGTCAAAAAGATAGCCTTCCTTGCATCGGAGTCTGCTGACGGACAGTAACGTCAAAGCATCTTCCACGGCAAGAGGATCGCCTGCTGTTCCAAGCGAGATAGCACGCTCTCGGGCCTCTCGACTTGAAAGAGGGCTCTCCGATCCGTGCGCTGGCGCTCCAGTCTGCACCGACACCCGGTCTCGTACCTCGCGCACAATATCCGCTATGCCAGTCTCCGGGTTTGACGGGGGGCTGATCACTCTGAAGTCGGAGTCATCATCCGGCGAACCCCATATCAGGGAGCCTTGTGACGAGAGCCGTACAGGAGGTGAGGGAGGTTTGGACGTGAGAATGCTGATCTGCCCGGTACCGTTCATCGTGATCGCACTGGGCTCGTTGCCGGAGCTCATGTTGAGAAAGTCAAAGGCCACGACCCTGTCCTCCTCGGCATAGCCACGGGAAGGGTGGTTGAAAGGGCCGACGATGTCCCGCTCATATTTGGTGTAAATCTGCTCTGGATAGTTGCGGGCCGAGCCATGCCCCAGCGTCTCGTCCACCGAGGACCGCATCTCTTCCGCCAGGTATTCCTTGGCGATGTCATAGGTCTTGAGATGACCGGTGTTGGCCAAGGCCGCCAGGCAGCCCCGCTTGGTCCGCGAGAAGCGTAGACTCCAGATACTCGACTTGGGAGCGACAACGTTCTTGAACTCCAACGCGGGGCCAGCCTGGCCGGCATCCAGAGCGGTGGCCGCCCCCACTGCGGGCGTGATATAGCGCGAACCAATGCGCCGATCCCAGACACAAATCACCGGATCATTCGTCCCCTGACACGAGGCGACATAGTTCTCATCCAGCCAATTGATAGCCAGATTGTGAACGCAGCGCGTGGGGAACTGTAATGACGGGTTTCCAGGACCCTCTGTGCGTGAGAACAAAAATTAGCTCTAACCCACCGAAGCCTGAAAGACTAGCCCAGCAAAAAAAGAACAAAACCACGAAAATAAACAACCCACCTCGAAGATCATAGATCCTCACAAACTGCCCTTTCACGCCGGTGACCAAGGTATCAGGCTGATCCCTGAAGAACTTGATACTGGTGATGGGCTCGGAGCTAGCCAATTTGCGCAGGGGCTCGACGAACCCCTTGGTTGCGGGGGCCTTCATGGTCAGCCGCTGGTTGACGTCCCAGATATTGAGGCAGAAGTCATTGCGGACGCGGTCCAGGCCGGCGGCCAGCAGGCCGTGGGTGCTGAAGGCGACGGCATTGCAGTAGCGCTGGTGGCGGATGGGGAAGGAGAAAGACTCCTGGGCCTCGCCGGTCATGCGCAGGATGGTCGCGTCGCCCGAGGACTGGCCCACGGCGACCAGGGACTCGTCCATGGGGGACCAGTCGAAGGCCCGGAAGGCAGGCACCTTGGTGTGCGTCGACAGGACCTCATGCTCGAGGCGGCGGTGGCCGTCGAAGGCCGTCACGCGACACAGGCGGAAGGCCTTGTTCACCACGTCCACGGACAGGAAGCGTTGCTCGCTGGTCGTCGAGGCTGGCGACCACCGAATGGCCGTCTCCATTGCTGCGCTGCGGTGCCCTGTGGCTGGCAGCGTCTGGCAGGTCCTCCACTCGCGACACCACTACCGCCCCACCTTCTGGAAGAGCAGGCGCGGGGTTGCTAGACAGCTAGCTGAACCGACGAAAGTCCGGGTTGCCGATGAGACTGATCACCGATGATCTAGACTGCTTTTGAACCCCCCTGGTGGGTTAGTATTGCGAAGTGTGTAGCAATCTTGCTGAAACCGGCAAGCCAAATCTGATGCGTCAACGCCAATCCACACCCTGCGAAGCAACTTCCGTCCACAAGGAAGGTTGGAGGTGAAGGCCAGGGGTCTAGATGTAGTAACCCATGAGGAGTGGAGAGTGTGAATCTGCCCGACAATCCTGCTTGCACCAGAGACAGCAATGCGCGAGCCTACTGGGCAATCTGCAGGCAAACTGAGGAGCAGTTGTAAGAAATGTAAGGTAGCGATGCAAGTACTGTCTGTATCATGAATCTGTCTCGATAGCTCAGTTTAGTCCGAGTAGTTCCAGCCCATGGATTGGATTAATCGATGGGCGCGTCATGGCACTAGACCACGTCTGATTGGCTGCGGAGCATGCCTCCCCGGCCCGACGAATGATCCGGGCATACTATCAAATCAATCGCCCGATAGAGTAATTTTTTTTCTCAGCGGGCAGGTTATATCGACTTCCAAAACAGAACCCATTCTCCAACTACTCCCATTAACCAGCAAGTCTCCAAACCCCTCTGCCTTGCCTTCACACCAAAGAAAAAACGAAGAAACTCCTCCAAAATGCCCCGCGAATACCAACCCCGCCCCAGCAAACGCAAACACAGCGACAACGGCGGCGGCGATGACCTCGAAGAACACGGCCACCACCACCACCACCCCCACTCCCGCAAGAAAGTTTTTCTCAAGAAAAACCCCGACTTCACCTCCGTGAATGACCTCAAGAAACGCATCCGCGCTGCCAAGCGCCTCCTCGCCAAGCCCGACCTCCCCGCCGACGTGCGCGTCACCCAGGAGCGCGCCCTGCTGGGCTACGAGCGCGACCTCGAGGAAGAGATCCAGAGTCGCGAGCGGTCAAAGCTGATCAAGAAGTATCATTTTGTGCGGTTCTTGGGTATGCCTCCCCCTTCCCCCGGGAAACCTGGTTGCGTTGCGTGAATGCCGGGAAGAGAAGAGAAGAAGAAGAAGAAGAAGAAGAAGAAGAAGAAGAAGAAGAAGAAGAAGAAGCTAATCTGTTTGATTCGGTGGGTAGAACGCAAGACCGCCACCAAAGAAATCGCCCGCCTCACCCGGAAGGAGAAGGAGCTCACCGAGAACACACCCGACATGGATGCCGCGACGAGGGAGAAGAAGCTCGCCTCCGTGGCCAAAAAGCTGCACGTGGCGCGCGTGAACCTAAACTACACGATTTACTACCCGCTCACGGAGAAGTATATTGCTCTGTATGCGGATGTGAAGAAGAATAAGAACGCGGAGGCTGAGCAGGAGCAGGAGCAGGAGCAGGAGGAGGATGCGGCGGGAGCAGCGGAGAAGTCGTCCGCTATGTGGAAGACGGTCGAGCAGTGCATGAAGGATGGTACCCTGGATCTTCTCCGGGACGGCAAGCTGAACAACAAGGAGAGAAAGGCCAAGTCAACAGATACCGGCGCGGCGGACAAGTCGACGAAGAGCAAGAAGAGCGCGCGCGAGCATCCCGATGCGTACAAGTCGAGCGCAAGGGCTAAGGGCGATGATCGGAA